TAGTAGAGACAGATGCCTCAGGATATGGGCTAGGGGCGGTGCTGATGCAGAATCACAGGCCAGTAGCATACTTCAGCCAAGTGCTTTCAGCAGAGGTAGATTGAAGTCAGTGTATGAAAGAGAGTTGATGGCCATTGTTTTGGCAATCCAAAAATGGCGGCCGTATCTCTTGGGAAGACACTTCATTGTACGGACTGATCAGAGGAGCTTGAAGTATTTGTTAGAGCGGAGGATGGTGACCGAAGAGCACCAGAGGTGGTTATCCAAACATTAGGCTATGATTTTGAGATCCAATATAAGCCTAGTTTGGAGAATAAGGCGGCCGATGCTTTATCAAGATGCGTTGGGGAGATTCAGGAGTTGGTTGTGTCGGCGCCATTGATAGTAGACTGGGGGGCCATTAAAGAAGAAAGTATGCTGAACGAGGAGCTGAGGAAGATTAGGGAGGATCTAAGGAAGGACAAGAGCAGTCATTCTGGTTACTACATTGAAGGGGGGAGACTATTGTATCAAGGGAGGTTCGTGATGCCACGAACTTCCATACACATGCCCCATATGTTGCAGGAATTTCATGGCAGCTCAGTCGGAGGTCACTCAGGAGTTCAGAAGACATACAGGAGGCTGGCAACGGAACTCTACTGGAAAGGAATGCATAAAGATGTGGAGGAGATGGTGGCGAGTTGTGAGGTCTGCCAAAGAAACAAATACATGGCCATGGCTCCAGGAGGTTTACTACAACCATTGGCACTTCTAAACAGAGTTTGGGAGGAAGTGTCCATGGATTTCATTGATGGCTTACCCAGGTCAAAAGGATTCACGGTCATTCTGGTGGTGGTTGACAGGCTCTGCAAGTATGCACACTTCATTCTCTTACGACATCCTTACACGGCGGTGTCGATGGCTGCGGCATTTATCAGGGAGGTGGTCAGGCTGCATGGGGTTCCAGAATCTATTGTGTCTGATCGAGACAAAGTGTTCCTCAGCTAGTTTTGGAGAGATCTGTTCAGGATGCAAGGCACGGTCCTAAAGAGAAGTACCGCCTATCATCCACAGACTGATGGGCAAACGGAGGTGGTGAACCGAAGTTTGGAAACTTACTTGAGGTGTTTTGCTTTAGAAACACCGCGGATGTGGGCAAAGTGGCTACCTTGGGCTGAATATTGGTACAATATGTCGTATCATTCTGCATCTCAGATGACCCCATTTAGAGTGTTGTATGGAAGGGATCCCCCACACTTAGTGCACTACGGGAAAGGAAGTACATCGGTCTCGACAGTTGAGCAGTACATGGAGGAAAGGGACAAGGTCTGGAAGAATTAAAGAAGCATCTGATGAGGGCTCAACAGATCATGAAGAAGCAGACATATTCACACAGGAGAGACATGCAGTTTGAAGTGGCAGAGAAGGTATTCCTAAAACTACGACCCTACAGGCAAAGGACAGTAGCGAGAAGAAGGAATAAGAAATTGGCGCCAGGATATTTTGGCCCCTACGAAGTTTTGGACAAGAGCAGTGGCGTATCGTCTGAAGTTGCCCTCTTCTGCTACCATACACCCAGTGTTCCATGTGTCACAGCTGAGGAGAGCATTAGGGGAACAGGTAGCTAGTGCGGAGCTACCAGCATCTTTGACAGAGGAGTTAGAGGTGATCATGGAACCTATGGAGTTGCAAGGAGTGAGGATTGATAAAAAGGGAAACAAGGAGGTGTTGATTAAATGGAAGAATCTTCCCGATTACGAAGCTACTTGGGAGCCTTATGAAATTGTGAAGCAACAGTTCCCCAATTTTCACCTTGAGGACAAGGTGAGTTTTTGGGAGGGGAGTAATGTTAGACCGGCCCAGGATGGGCCGGTTGGACCGGTCCACTGCTACGCGAGACGGGCTGGGCGGAAATGGCAGCAAGGGGCGGAACTCCTTGTGGACCCCACGTGGGATTAATTCTGATTTGGGAGGGAGAAATTTGAATGAGGAGGGCTGTTTTAGGAAATCCATTATTGTCCTTTATGATTATTTTTGTTTAATTAGGAGATTGGGGGGAATTAGGGATCATCTTGAATTTGAATGAGAAGTTTGAGATCTCTTGGTGTTCTTGGGCTCTAGGGTTTGCTAGAGACTTGTGGAGAGTTTTTCTTCCTCTCGAATCGAAGAACGTTGTATCTTTTTTTGTTTTGCTTTCATTACTAGTGAAATACAAGCCATTTCTTGCGTTTTCTCTCAGATTTCCCTGTTTTCCTGCTGTTTTCTCTGCTGTGGACAGCAGTTTGCTGCTGTAATTTGATTGGTTTGGGTTAGAATTACTTGTGAACCAAGTAATTCCTATCATATCACTAATGGAGATGGAGTCGGGTACACTGATGAAGATGGAGACAAGCGCCACTGGTGATGGAGATGAGTGTCACTTTTGCTAGTCAAGTCATGATTTTTGAGTGTGCTATGATATATAGGTTGTTGCAATCACTAGCCTTATTTTTATACTCCCTTTTATTCTATGTTAATGAATTGTTGATTGAATTCAGATTTGAACCAAACCTAAAAGCAGAAGTGAATCACGTGAGCTATTCTTACCCGTGCTTCTCTTGCATGATTTTGCACTCGAAGGCATGCAGTGTTTGTCTGCAGCCAACTCAAGCGTGAGACGAAAGAAAAGTGCCGCCTGATAATGTCATGGGCTTGGCCATTGAAGCGCACTTCAAAGTTAAATTTTAACAAACATAAAAGATCAACCTGGCAAATTTTTAGAATCCATACTTCCTCAATATACTTCAACAAGTTTTTTCAGTAGGCCTTACCCGAGTCTTTCTCTCTCGCACACACACGTGCACTATCCAAGGGATGATAAAAAACTTAGGTTCTTGTATCAAGGAGGGCGATGACTTCTCTCTCTTTTCTTGGCTAGATTAGGGAAAGCTTTTTTTATTCTTTGATTCCTCCATTGAAAATCTAACTTCCTTTACCTAATAATTACCTTCCGGTTTCGAAAGTCTTATGCACGCAAGTGCCAAATTAGTTTGGTTGTAATTAGTTGTTTTTTTTATTCATTTGTTTAGAGTGAGTGTTACCAAGTGGCTTGAGCTCTTACTCATTCAACAAATACGAAGTTAGATACCTTCTAATAAAAATCTATAATGCCGTGATATGATAGAAGATACAAATTTAAAACCCTTATTTTTTTTGTATTCTCGTGAGATGATTATTAACTCATTCAACATAACAGCAAATAATATGGGTGATCCCTTTTATGCAAAATAATGAAGGATATCATGGCCTATTGCTGTTAGACTGATAAATTGCCTTAGTGCTATCATTGATGGAGAAGCATTAATCCTTCATGCCTGCATATTCTCTTATTAAAATGCATTTCCTTTGAATAATGATAAATTATTTTTTCTTAATTTAATATCGATTACATTGGCATTCATTAATGTCTTTTTTTTTTCATGATTTATACTTCTGCATCTAGCATGACATTTCCTGACAACTATGTATGTGTTGTGCCCCATTGTTTCAATCAGAATCATCTTAAACTATTATTAAATGGATTGCCGACTGTTAGCTTTGTAAGTTGAAGTGCATGTTTGAACTGCGAGATCTCCTGGGGAATAGAAGTCCCTTCCTGCAAGTTGTTGCTGGTTTACAGTTGGTTTGTTCTACATGCATCATCTTAATCGTGAAGCTGATCTCAATTTTTCTTACTGATATGGAACAAGATTGACACATTTTTTGTATGACATGGTTGCTTATGTGGCGTAAACTATTTACAAACTTGTGTTATTTTATTTTCCTGCCTGCATTTCATCGGAAAACTATTTGTTAATTTTTATGTTTGATCCATTGTTATGGTTTAAGTGGAGGAATGCATCGGGCTTGTTGTGTGATAAAAAAGTACCCTTCAAACTTACGGGAAAATTCTATAAGATGGTGGTGAGGCCTGCAATGCTTTATGTTGTCGAATGTTGGCCATTAAAAGAGAAGCATAATACTAAGTTAAGTGTGACAGAGATGAGGATGCTCAGGTGTATGAGTGTCTTTTCCCTTAGAGATAGGATACAAAATAAGCATATAAATGAAAAAGTTGGAGTAGCTCCAGTAGAAGATAAAATTAGAGAGAGTCGACTTAGATGATTTGGTCACATAAAACGGCAGCCTTTCGATGACCCTGTTAGGAAAGTAGAGGTATTAGATTTGACTTATGTTAAGAAAGGTAGAGGCAGACCTAAAAAGACTTGGTTAGAAAATATTAGAAATGATCTTTCTCTATTAGATTTAAATGATAATTTGACTTTTAATAGGACACAATCGAGAAAAAAGATTCATGTAGCCGACCCCACGTAGTGGGATAAAAGCTTGTTGTTGTTGATCCATTGTTATGGTTTAGTTCAGTTTCTGTAAGGAAACAATAGGTTGATATTAGAGTGGGACATACAATCTTTGCAAGGCTTAGTAAAGGCAGGATGGTGCACCCATATGAAGGCATTTGAAACAACAGCTTATTGCAAGTGTTTGGCTTGGATGCGGCGTTGAATTGCTGGTAAATAAGATGTATTATAAAAGCCTGTCACATGCTAAAATTAGAATAAGAGTTGTAAATTGTTATGGAGTTGGCAAATCTAACATCTTGTGCATTCTGAATCAAAGAATTGTTTCACCTGCTGTGTTACAAGGATGGCGGGATTGGTTGTGATTGTTGTACCCTGTTATCTTTGGCCCTTTGCGTTAGAACGTAAATTTTTTACTTTGGCCTCTAACAGTGAAGTATGAATTCTCAGTTTTATGATAAAACGCCACACTTAAAATTCTTTCTGATGGGCTACTTTTCCTTTCTGTTTCTAAATTGTTTTATTTTCCCTTTGCTCTAATACTTCTATAATGTCTGTCTTTATATAATTTATTTGGAATCATTATTCATTGTTTTTTTCTTCTCCATTTATTTCTTGGATTCAACTATATTGAATTTCTTTCTACACCTATTTATAAACCAGCATATATGGGTATGAATGCAGATACATGATGTCGTAAGGTATCGGTTGCATCGGATGAAGAAGAAGTTGAAGGATGAATTGGACAGTAGGAATACCATTCAGCAGTATATATGCCCTAATTGTGGGAGAAGGTATCCAGAATATCATTTAGTATTTCAAGTTTGAAACTCATACCAAGTTTCTTAGCGTTTGGAATGTGCTGATGTGCAGATATTCGGCTTTTGATTTGAAACTCATAGCAAGTTTCTTAGCCTTTGAAATGTGCCGATGTGCAGATATTCGGCTTTTGATGCACTGCAACTTGTAAGCATGACTGATGAGTATTTTCACTGCGAAGGCTGTAATGGTGAACTTATTGCTGAGAGTGACAAACTTGCTGCTGATGAAATGGGAGATGGAGATGATAATGCCAGGAGGCGACGAAGAGAAAAGTTAAAAGATATGCTTCAAAAGATGGAGGTAGTCTTCTTAAACCTACTTTAATGGATGTTTTCTTGGGAAGCGTGTGCTTCAGTGGATGTAAATAAATGTTTAATGTGATATAGGAATATGGCACCAAAATGTCTGGCATAATGCGTGTCAGTTGAATTTATATGCACCTTTTTTTATTTAAAATTGTTGGCCAGTACTTATAAAATATAATGAGATTGATGCTCAACTTCCATCACATCGAACCTTGGTTAAAATGATGAGGCAAATGTTTGCTAGTTACACATCTTATTATATGTCTAAGAATTGAGTTAGGACACAGCTAGGTTGCATTTTATGGCATCCTAATAAAGTATACATGCTCACATAAAAATCTTATGCTAATGTACCATTTCCTCTATATTAACAAGCATATTATATTGGGATGAAATACTTGAATGAGAAGCAAAATAATAGAGCAAGGAAATCATCCTAGGGCATTTACTTACCTAGAAATGAATGATCAATCATTGTCACCGTTGAGGTCAGTGGAGGGCGGAATGAGAAGAGAAATGGCAGATGTTGCAACTTGTTACTGTTAAGAAGCACCTAATTGCAATAATGACAAGGGAGAGTAATTGGGTTATTCTTGATAACTTTTGGATCTCATGTCGTTGGTCATGCTACAGCACATTTGTTCGCTGGGATGATGTGACTTGTGAGGCAGCAGTGGCTATGATTATGGAGAAGAGAAAAATCTGTGAACATTGAAGCAAGAGGGGTTTCAAAGGTCTCTGAATCCCAGCTCTTAAAGAAGAGTCTTAAGTCATGCTGTGGTAGAAAGCTATGTAAGAGCTTAATCCATAAACGAAACCCTAGAAAATTTGAAAAATAACTTATGCTCAAGCCATTAAACCTAAAGACTTGAATTGAAATAATTAAGGAGGCTCAAAAACTCAAACTGAACAAAATAAGACATACTATGTGTGTTATGCTCAAGAGATTATAATACAATTTGCTTACATAACACATTTTATTTGAAAGCTTGCTATGCCATTTGCTCAAGAGTCACGACTCACCAATTAACTATAACATGTTATTTTTGTGCTATTGGCAAGAGCAGTTAAAAATGAAATAAAAATACTATAAATTATTCAATATAAAAAAGAGTGGTCCATAAATTACTAGAGTTATCTTGATATGTGTCATATATAGCATTAACTTCCTAAGGGTTGTTGGAGATCTTCTCTAAAGAGCGATGCAAAGCCTTCTCTTCAAAGTTTAGTATCACTGCAAGCCCGGGGGGTAGTGGTCCTCATAAACACTTGGCGATTATAACAGTGGTTTCACAAATTCAATATATATCTCTTGTGAGGAGTATATTGGAACCTGTGGAACGAGTACATTTGGTAAAGAATTTTAGAGATATACAGAGATGTGTGGATTAAGGAATTTTCTCTTTTCAAGATACAGTTGAACAATAATACTGCTCAAAGATATCTTTGTCCCAGGCTTGGTGTTATGTTTAGATACAGTCATGGATTTAGGCTCAAGAGTAATCCCGTGCACAACCTTAGTTTGGGCTTAGTATGAAACTCAATTAGTGACAATTAATGATCATTATCATCGTCCATATTGTTTGCAGAATTTTATGAGTCGTGATATTAATCCTTAGAGACCATTTGAACATAAGGATGACGTTTTTGAATTGTTTGTTGTGACTGAATTTCTACAAATTGAAGCATCTCAGTGGCTGATTTGTGATTACTGATCTCTCTATCTTTTTGTTGATATTTCCAATTATAATAGATAAAATTCCTATCCAATTGCCCTTTTATCTTGAAGTTTTTTTTTTTAAAATAAATTAGATAGATGTCTCTCTAGGTTGTTTGGTACTCTCCAATTGAATTTGCATTACAAAAGCAATTGGATATAATTCTGGTTCCCTGTTGATGTTTCTGCTTGAAGTTAAGACATAGCGTCTCGATTTTTGGCTCTCTAAATGCCTGGACTTTGATACCGTTGTGATTTGTTTTGTTGTTTCTGGTAGAATATATGGGAGCTCTTCCTCGTGATTTTCAAACTGTAACGCATGGTTCTTTTTGAATTAATTATCATGCTTGATTGCAGTTGGAGCTTTGGTCAATATGAAGTGAATAAGCTGAACTTATAAATTAATGTCTGTTCCAATTCAATTCTCACTTTAGCCATAAACTTTTGCATCGTAGGTATCAACGTAATGTCAAAGATCTATATAGATGACTATTTTCGTTTACCTGGACATGCTATTGATTGCTTTTCAAAAATAACTGCCTAGGCGGCAGGGTCAATTACCTTCCTAGAACTGTCCATTGCCAAAAGGTGCTTTCTTTGGCAGAGTTAGTGGTTTTTGACCGTTCCATGCCAGCTATGATGTTTCTTTCTGTTTTATAACTTGGATTTTTATTCCTTGAAGTGTACTCAATAGCTTGCTATTCATATTCTGCATAAGCTTTGAACATTAAATTTTTTATCATTTCAGTTTCTCTTAAATAAAAATTTTCTCCTCTACGCTTTGGTATTTTGACTCAAAATTCAAGTTCGAGAAACCTAATGTCTGTTATCCATGTAACACAAGTTTAAGTTCTCTTTATGTCAGATTTGTTTTGTTTATTTTATCACATAATTTTCAGTTGGAAATTGCCTTGCAACATTTGATGCTGTATTTTTTTACTTTTTTGGTAAATGTTGCTATTTTTTTTTCCTGAAGTGGTGCTGCTTGGTTTGTTCTTGGGTTTTGGACTTTCTAAGATGAGGTAGGAAATCATAAAGCTATACAATTTTGAGTCAGCAAGTTTCCTTTTCGAACTTTTCTCCCGAATCTTAGAGTTCCTGATACTGAAATTTCAACTAATACAGGAGCAGTTGAAGCCCTTGATGTTGCAGCTTGCACGAGTAAAGGACTTGGCCGTACCAGAATTTGGAGGACTCTTAGCATGGGAAGCAAGAGTGCATGCAGCTGCTCGTGTTACAGGTGATTCTAATGCCAACGACTCTACCAAGTCTTCTCAGGGGCAAGGATATGGTGGAACACCTATGCCATTTCTCGGTGAAACTAGGGTATGCTTCCCTTTTATCTAGTCAATGTTTTGTTTTACTCAAATGCATTCTTTTCATTCAAGGTTGATATAATAACTGAAAATTGTAATTAGGCTGGTTTTTCTTTTCATCATCATCACCAGCCTTCTTCTCGAATCACTTCAGTCTATTTTTCTCTACTCCAACTTCAATGATGTTACTCCTAGTCACCCTAATGTGATCATTTTAATTCTACCTTTTCTAATTTTATCCTGCATGCATTGTAGCATGCCCCTACTTGCTTCCTTCATCTTGTTTGCAATTTTGGAATTAGAATATAGGTCAAAAAACGTGCTAAATCATATTTACTGCATTACTGTGTGTAGAATGATCATTTTTAAATTGTAAACTCTACTTAAGTGCATATGCTTAAATTTTTTTGCATAGTGCTTACATAATCTAGTTTTGTTTAATGCGCAATCCATATACAATGAATTTTGTTAGAAAATAACATTTCTGCAAATGGTTAATTAATAATTACTTTTCTATGCAATTTCCACTTGAACAGAGAAGCCTGCAAGATAACCTTCCAATCCTACTGCTTATGATGGTCATACCACAGAGGACAGAAAGCATAGATACAAATATGATCTGTTCTTCGTTATTTTTAAATCAAATTTTGATCATGAATGCAGATCGTGGGCCTTAAAAGGAAGCTACTATTAGAATCTCTTTAACTGACTTTTCTTTTTCTAGATTAATGTCAAATAATATACAGATGCTCAAGTTTGTGAAATTACTTTACAGTCTGATTACATTCAGTTTCCAGTTTTGTGTATTCTTTTATAATATCACTAATTAATTTGGCTTTTTGGCTTCAATAGATGTATGTCTGTGCATGCAATCATTATATGTTTTGTCATGGACGATAGTATGTTAATTTAGGAAGCTGTTGAAACTTTGAAACCTCTTTGTAGCTCTTAACATTTACTTCTTTTAACATAATTCTCTTCATGTCATTGTTATGCTAATGCTGGTAGGTTGAGGTTGCACTATCTGGTATGGATGTAAAAGAAGAGGGCACTGAACCTGATACAAAATCTGCAAGCGTTAAAGTCTTACCTCCCTGGATGATCAAGCAAGGAATGGTTCTCACGAAAGAACAAAGAGGAGAAGTTAAACATGATATGAAGTCAGATCAGAGTTCATATGCTATTGATGAGAAGAAGCCAGGTGTTGAGAAGGAAGATGAAAAGAACTTACAGGTTAGTGCAGCTGATGAATTTTCTTTTGTCAAACTTATAGCAGTTTCCCGTTTGATTTTAGTTTTTTATTCGAAAACTTTTACCTAAGGTTGCATTGTTTTATCTTTTGTTCCAATTCAAATTTTGTAGGATGAGTATTTCAAGGCTTACTATGCTGCTCTGGCCAAGAGACAGGAAGAACAGGAAGCTGCATCCAGAAGATTGCGAGAAGAAGCAGAGAAGTACAAGGCATCAACATCTGACCTTTCCAATGGCATCTTTGAAGCACCTTATGAGCGGCAAGTTGGTATGAAATCAAAACGGGCAGATGATGAAAATGATGATGTTGATTGGGAAGAGGCTGTTCCTACAGGTAAATTTTCTTCTAGTGCATCTAATTGATCTATTTAGTACGAGTGCTTCATGGGTTGCCTGGAAGTGCACTGCTTTGTTTATGTGCTTTAGTTGATCTGAGACCTGTTTGCTGTGTGCATTTGATTACCTGCTGTTTGGTGTTAAGCACTGGTTTTCCTAGACAAAGCTTGCACAACCTTGTTTGATAGCTAGTTTGCGTTTTAATAAGCTTCTAGTGGAGGTAAGAAGAGTAAGTTGATATGCTAATGTTGAAACATGATAAACTTATTTAGTTAGAAGACATCTCTTCTAACTTATCTTTTTTTTTTTTCTCAATTGATATTATAGCATTGGTCACTCTTTTCTCTTTTTAATTTATTCTTAGCATAGTTGTTCAAACTGATGACATCATGATTTTCCTATGATTATATTTTGATTCAATATGAAACATCTAATCTAGTCCTCATTCATTAGTATTTGTGTTTACTAATTTTATGTATTCTTTCTTAGCTTGTCATTTATTGTCTTATAGCATAGTTAAGTCTTCATGGGCACATGATTGTTTCATGGCAAATCATGCTTCATATTTATGTCATCATTTTTATTTGTCTATTTATTAGTTGTATGGGTAAAATAGCCATTTTCTCATTTGAACATGCTTATCATTATATTAATGTTATTAGGATTACAATATCAATAAATGTTTGGCTGCTATCAGAAATAGCAAGTCCTGTGTTGTGATTAAGAATGGTTTATTATTGAATTAAGAAATAACATTTGCTCTAGTATTCTTTCTTGGTTTTTCCTCCCTTTTTCTAACCATAGTCCTTCATGCTTTCTTTTCTAACAGTTTCCTACCTTTGTTTGAGGCAATCATTCTTCTAATGTTATCATTCCCTTTCTTCTCTTTTCCTTTTGGCTTCTTACTCATCTTATTTTTCTTTTCTCAATAAACTTGAGGCATTGTTACTTAGTAAGTATGGTAGTAAAATCAGTGTTATTGATTATTGTTTTTTTCTTCCTTTTAATTTATGGAAACATTGGTATGTAAGTATCTTTTTTCAGAATATCCATGTGATATTTTCATAATCCCACAACCTGTATGATATGATCCTTGAATAAGAGGATATGCTTAGGAGTTGTATGTTTTGAAGATCATAGCTATGTGTCTAGCCTTAGTTCTTGTAACACCAGGTGATTAGGCAAGTATTTTTATGGAGTAGGTTTTATGTAGGTTTTTTGCAATAATTAATGAGATTAGATTTTCCATGTTCTAGGCCAAATGGAATTGAGTTAGGGAGTGTTTGACATGAGAAATGATGCAGTAAAGGTGTGCTGATGCAGTAATTTGATAGTAGGTCACAAGGATTCTTCCTCCTGCGGAAATTCTCTTGACCTTCTTGTCTTCCTTGGATTTCATTTTTTTCTAATTGATTTCTTCCTTTGCTTTTCTCTTTTCTCTTCATAGAGAGGTATTTATATAAATAGAAATCTAATTCTTCTCAACCAGAAAATAAGAAGTGGAGCCATTATTCTTCCTTGAGGTTTTGTTTGGGATAGCTTTTTATTTTTTTTGCTTTTAAAATTCCAGCCGCACTGGCATTTGAGTAAAAGTTCAATTGCATTTCAGAAAAATATTGTTGTCTGAAATAGCTTTTAGTGACCTAGCTTATTATTATGTGTTCAAACGGCGATGCCTATTTGTTTATTTCTCTTGTTTCACTATTTCATTAACGGCTTATTTTGTAAAGCCTTGAGCTGATTCTAACGAAACATGTTGTAGAACGCAGCTATTGTAGATCTTAATACTATTATGACTCAAGATGGTCGGAGTTTGACTTCAATTAGCTGGGGAAAGGATAGCATTAAAGTTCGGGGAGATAAGAAAGTGGCTCAGCAAAAACCAAGCTATGATTCTGAAGATAATATACAGATGCTAAAAATTTAAGAGAACTAGGGGTGTTTGGTGGTTGGGGCTTTATATCTCTGATTAATTCGTGCGGATTAGTTGTTATCTGATTCCTTTTGATTTTGTTTCTGATGGACCAGTGGTTGAGCCAGCGGGCCCCACTAGGGTGGTTAGCGGGCAAGAAGAGGGAGGGAGAATTGTTTAAAAAAGTTTTAATTATAATTGAGAGGGAATTAATTAGGAAAAGATATTTAATTTAAATCCAACTATTAGAGGAAACTATTTAGGAAAAGGGGGATGATTTGGGAGGAAGTTAGGGGAGCTTATTTAAGGCTAACTATGGGGTGTAAGAACCGGTTCAGCCGGCCGATTCATTTGAACCGGCCCTAACAAAATAGCTGGTTCAGACAAAGAAGCGGATGAGCGCGATCAAGCGGGTGAGCAGTATCACGCGAATAGAACTGGAGCGGATGACCCAGGCGAACCAGACGCGTGCGCGTAGATTCCGAATGGGCTCAGTTTGTGGTTTGGAGCAAGGATCGCGCACGAGGGAAAAAATAGCGACTCGTCGCGAGTCATATCTTCGTTCACTCGTTCCTTTTTCGTTGTTATCGCTAAGAAGCAAACTGAGAGAAGAGGGGTAGAGAGGAAGAAGAAGAAAGAAGAAGGTATGTTTGTCGATTTCTTTAATTTATTATTTTCTGTGCAAATCATCATGTGATTTCTAATCTAAGCAAGGATGAATGTTCAGTTAAAAATAAGGGAAGAAAATCCGGAAAAGTGGTAAGAAGAATTTGGGATTTGGAATTCCCTCTTATGAAAAAGTAAGTGATTTAGTTGATGTTATATACTTTCATTTATTGTTCCTATGGTTGAAGAAATAATAAGAAATACATTTTTATTTTTATGTCGGAAGAATTCAAGTAATATAAACTTTAGTTCGACGGTGGAGGAAGGAGGAATTTCAAAGAATGAGAGAAAGGTTTGGTGAGGTAATTATTGTGATTTAACAGGACTTTTGGAATGAATTAGATCCATTTAATGCTATGATAAATGATGTATTCAAAATTATCCTAAACATGTTAGTCAAATCAATTTAATGATTTGTTTTGGAATTATTATGGAATTATAAAGTGTTAAGTGCTAAATGATGAAATTAAATATTAATGTCAACGGTGGAAGATTTCATAATTGGGAGAGGGCACTGGAAGCCTTTAATAGGTGATAATCTTTTAACCTCGAAATAAAGAGTAAAAGTAAAGTAGCGCATTTCTTAAGTTCAAGGCAAGTACTCATGTCTTTTAATTAAAGTAATGATTTTGTTTCTTTTCTTGAATTAAATGCATTGAAAGATACTGATATGTGCTTATTGCTTATTAAGTATTTATTATAAATTAGATTATGATTCGTTTTTTTCATACTTAATGATTGATCATGTTGAATCAAATGAAAATAATTATCTCATGATTTACATATTCATAGAAAGTAAAATGAAATGATATGATATAATATTCTTGCATGTGTTAACTGATGGAGCACACTCCCTTACGGTACTAGCTGGGGACGCAATGTACTCGTGCACGTTAAAAGAAAAACGTTATGAAAAAGAAAAAGGAAATAAAAAATGAGTATCTTCATTGGAAAAGTGAGCTGAGCTAATGAGCCCTATGGTGGGTTGCGGGCTGAGCTGATGAGCCCTACTAGGGTGGGCGGCAGGCAAGAAGAGAAAGAGGGAATTGTTTAGGAAAATTTTAATTACAATTAAAAGGAAATTAATTCGGGAAAGAGACTTAATTTGAATTCAAATTTGAGAGGGAATTATTTAGAAAAAGTGAGCTGATTTGGGAGGGAATTAGGAGAACCTATTTAAGGCCAACTATCAGGTGATTTCAGATTATGCTTGATTTTACTGGAATTAGTTTTTCTTAGGTTGAGTGGGCTTTAGCCGATGGCTAGGAATTTGGGAGGGTCGGATCTTCCTGATGTAGAACTAAATGCTTTAAATGAATGAAATAGAATTTGCACGAATTCTTGAATTAAGCAAGTAAGATTAAAACTATTATCAATCCAAACGATAAAATAAAACAAGAGAGGGGTGCCTATGTTTGGGCTAAAACGTTTGCCAAACACTTGGAAAAATCAAAACTAGTTAGAAATTCAAGAATCATGCTAAGTAAATAGCTTTCAACAAGAATCTCTAATATAACAATAAAATTAGAAGCAAATACAATGCACTCAACCCTATGTTTACTAAGCTTTGGCAACGGCGAAATAAAACCCTACGTTTATTAAGCTTAGGCAAAAGTGAAGCACGGCTCCTTGTGACTTGTCATCACCTACAAGATTAGGGGATTATGAAGGTAAGTGATAAGAGGGGAGAAGTTCACCTTAGTCAAAGTCGGGAAACATTTAGCCGAGATGTTGAAGAACTTCGTCGTAGTTCCCTTGAAGGTTCAACTTAGAGAGAAAGAAGTTTCTCTAGTGTTGAAGGTGGTGAGCATGCTAGTTGGTACTTCCCTTGGAGGCTCCAATTAAGAGGGATGAGCTTATCTCGATAACCCTTAAGGAAGAAGGGGGATGAAGTGGCCGGCCATGAGGGAAAGTGGTTTGGGAACTTGGGTTCAGATTTGGGAGGTTTAGGTGGAGGGAAATTTCAATTCAAACACCTCATAATTATCCTCTTGATTGAGAGTAATTAAAGGGAGGGAGAGAGGAGAGGGGCCGGGTAAGAGCTAGGGGCCGGCGGTTTTAATGAGTGGGGAGGGATTTATGAAGAGGTGATGGGGTTCCTAAATTTGGGCTTAGAGATTAGGAAAGATTTAACTGGGTCCAATTTAATTTGAAATTCAAATTGGATTCAATTCGAAAACTTTCCTAAAATAGTTTAATAGAATTAGGAAAGGATTTGAATCTTAAATTTAATTAATTTGGATTCCAAATTGTTCCCAAATTAATTCAAATTAAATTAGGAAACTCAAAGCAAGGAAAGTGGGGTGGGGCCGGCGGTTATTCAAGCATGGCCGGCGGCTATAGGGAGGTAGGGAGGAATTTGTGGAGGCATTCAATGCTATCTTGAATTAAGGAATTAAATTTGGAATAAAAGATTTTATCCAAATTAATTCAAACTTCAAATAGGCTGACTTAGGAAGTTGCCTAAAATAGGATTATAATTTAGGTAACTAGTTTAAATTCAAATGGATTTGAATTTAATAGTTACCTAAATTATGAAAGGTTAATTTAGGAAAAGTTTAGTGGCAATTTGATGTTGGAGGGAAAGATCAAGAGTAGGGAAAATTTGAAAACTTTACTAAAATAGATTTTATAATTTAGGAAAGAGTTTGAATTTCAAATTTGGGGAAATTTGAATTCAAAGACCAACAGAATTATGACAATCCAAAATTATGAAGTATCCGAGGTAGGCAATGGGGGAGGGGAGGGAGCTAGGCCGGCGGTTTGAACGGGGTCGGGTAAGAGGCCGGCGGTTAGGTGGAGATGTAGGAGGTGTTTTGGTGGGTGGAAGGAAACGACTAGGGAGAAGAAGATCGTGAAGAAAAAGTGGGAGATAGAGTTAAGGGAAATCGAAGATATGAAACCACGAACCCGACCGTCTCCAAGGTTGGTGGGTGATGCCCCAATCTCCCTCTCCAAGGGATCTCTGTCCGATCTATCATGCTCTCTCAAGAACTCTAACAAGAAAACAAAATTCTTAAATAATCATTCATTAATTTTCAAAGAGAACATAGAGGCTATAAATAGCCTCGTACATAAGACTCAAAAGAAAAAGACAATAATGCCCTAAGGGCTTACATACGACCTCCCATTAAGTAAGGGGTAAAAACGGAAAACGATTACAAAATAACTAATAATAAAAGATAAATAACATAATAAAACAAATACATGAAATAATCTCAAAATAGATCGACGCGATCGTGGCCGTAGATCGTCGGCCACGCCTCTGATATACGATTCATGCTCTGATGTCCCCATCACTTCTTCTCCAATTGAAGATCTAATTGTATCTTGTCTTTCATTCTTAATTATTTCAATGATAAAGATTTCTTGTATGTTCTTTTTCTTAAATTTCTCGTGTCATTCTCTTATTTTTGCTAAAATTGCATCCACTCCCTATCAGTTTCATATTGTTGTTCTGATCTCCTTTATTTGTTGCCGGTCTTCTACAAATTTCTGGGAGACTGACTTCTTATGCCAACTTTCATGCCTTGTCCTTCGCTCGTACTTCCAAACATATTTTTTTTATGGGATCATGCAGGTTTTAAATATAATGCACAATATGCACACCTACTATTTCAAAATCTCTAATTATGGCCTTGTTTCATTTGCCATACCACATGGAATGAACTGAAAGAGATTTTTCATTTCAGGCAACACTGGCGAAACTTTCAAGCTTGCTGATCTGAATGCCCAGCCCGAAGCATCCGGCGATGACGAAGACGACATAGATTGGGAGGAAGGCTGACTTTGCTGTAAATAATATGATTTGGATGGAAGATGAAGTCAAAGAGTTTCTCCTGAGTTTTCTTCATTCATAGATTGCCCAGGAAAACATGAGAACTCTATCAATGTGTTGATCATTCATATTAGCTTTAGAGAAATGATGGTGCAGAACTGCTGTTCAACAACTTTTTTTGGGGGTTCTGTCTCTTTTTTTGTTTTTTTCATGATTATTCTTATGATTTTTATGCCTGCAGAATCCTCTTGTCCTTTGATAGAATATTATTGAGCTGAGCTCTAATGTTGGTTGCTTGTATTTAAAATAAATTTTGTTATAAACTCAACAGTCTTGATTATGGAAAGTATTCTCCTCACAAGTAGAATAACATTGGCAAGACACCATTGGTTGACATCTACGAAGGCTATGTTTGGGACGGCTATCTTATTGCCTCTTAAATAAAATTTTTTTAACTTTTATACTAAAAAATTGCTTTAAGAATAAATAAAAAGATGTCCCAAACAAAGCTTAAGGCTTTGTTTTGAGTAGCTTTTGTAATTTTTTTAAAGTAATTTTCTAGTGAAATTTTTTTAGTTTAAAATAGTTTTTTACTAAAAAAATTGATTTAAAAAGTAATAAAGAAGCCAAAATTTTGATTGGAGAATTTGTCTCATTTTAGTTAACTATAAATTGTATTTTTAAAAATTATAAAACTTACTTATTGATTGTTCTTATTTGAATTTTAAGTTTTTATATTGCAATAAATGTCATATAAAATTAAATTTTTTAATAAAAAGTCATATTTAATCATTTATTAGTATTAAAAAAAAGCTTCTTTTTTTTTTTGAGATTTTTTAACCAAATAAAATAAACTAACATATAAATTACGTACATAAATTTTGAATCCAAGGTCTTAAGGTAACCAAAGTTCCTTACCAATAAATTAAGATGAATTATGGTAGGTGATAATCGAATTTATGCGACGAGCTTCTTTCTGTTCTGCATGTTAATTATTGCAGCTCTCTCCAATTGTTAATGTTTTATTTATATTATTAAAAATATAAAATTGACTCATATATTACTTCTTTTTATAGATATTAATGTAAATAAAAAAAATATTTTGTGAATGGTAGAAGTTAATATGAATGATGGGTGATTATGTGTTAAATCTTTTAATGAAGATAAAGTTCTCGAATACTTCCCTCTTCAAACTTTGCTACTTGAGAAATGTTTGGAAGAAATTAATCCAAAATAACTGAAGCTCAGATGAAAAATTGCTATTACTCTTAGAAAGATCAAAAAAATATTTATTGGTAGGGATGCTTGTCAGGCATAAGAAAATATTTGATTTTTGATGGAGCATGGGATAATACCATACTCCAATGAAATATCAAAAAATTCACTTAGATACACGTAATTTTAATTTCATTTATACATAATTTATTCTATTTTTTAGTAACATAAAAGATAGTTTGGATTATAGGTAGAATAAGCATAGGGAGGCCCCAATAAATAATGTAAAGTGATATCATAACAAAATTGATGGTTTGAAAGATGGTTATCACAACAGGAAAATCACCCATTACCGGCGGAATTTTCCGACGGCTTTTCACCGCCGGGAAATGATCAATTTCCGCTGGAAAATGCTGGCGGTAATAGATGATTTTGCTGTATTATATGTTTAAACACTCAACTATATGATTTTCCATTTCTCTAAATATCATTTTCTACGACAAATCTCAATGTATTTTTCTATATAATTCAGGTTATTTGACTTATTTCAATCCCTTACTAAGAATAGCTAATGTTTCTTCTACCACAAATTTATGTGTAGTATCAATCAATGGAATAATATGTTAGCTAACATTGTTAAGCTCACTGTTAATCAAAATAACAATTAACTGTGCAATTACTTGTTACAATGATATAAATCATGAGCTTCATTGTATCTATTTCAAGCCAAGTCTCAACTTTCTACAACTTATTATCACATAGCACCTCCTGAACAACTTTACGTAAGTATCATCATTACTTAATTGAATTTTCAATAATTCTTAGTTTACTCCACTCATCAATTAAGCATAGAAAAAGAATTAATCACCCCAAACAGACCCTTATATCATACATTAGAATTGTCCCTAAGCTTTTCTAATGTGGAAGATCAATAAGCGTTAAAGCAGGTGATCAAAGGATTCTCATTGATGTGGCATAAGTGCTTTCTGATAGATTACAAAGCTTACAAATATATTTAACTAAGGCTTCGTTTGGGATGGTTTTCTTGATGCTTCTTAAGATAGCTTTCTAGTACAAAAATTAAATTTTTTGTACTCAAAAGCTGCTTCAAGAAACAGCGAGAAAGTCGTCCCAAACGAAGCCTAAGGCAGAATAAAACCAGGCCTTGGAGTGAAAAATATTACAAGGAAGTCAAGAAAATTAGTTACCTGAAGAAGAAATAGGCTTTTTCACTGAGCAGAACTATCTGAAGTTATCATTTGGAAGGGAAAACAATGGTTTTTCCGAGCACAAAAAGAACTAAGCTCATCTCCAGGAAGAAAATAGTGTTCATCAGTACACGGTCGATTATCCATCCGAATATGGTGATCCCACCAGCGTTTGTTTGAAGATACATGGCTGTAGAGTAGAATATTTACATGAGTGATATAGGAAAACTATTCAGAAAAAGAAACGGTTAGCTCATGCGAAATTTCAAGAGACAACGGAGCAGATATTTAATATAAATTCTGCTTATTCATGTATTATCTGTTTTATATTATGCTTTTAAAATAATCATCTAACATAATTTTTTAACAACTAAAAAAAATTAAAAACAAATCAAGTTGCAGCTCGCAGCGACATGCATATTTTTAAATATTCTTTTAAATAAATATAAAGAGAAGGATTTATAACTTTGGCTTTGTTTGGAACAACTTTATTTTTGCTAAAGCAATTTTTAGCTCAAAAAATTTTTGTGATAGAAAACAGTATGAAAACTATCCCAAATGAATTCGTAGTGGTTGAAGAGGCCATAAGTTCGAATCCCTAATCAAATGAGCTCTCCAACCATTGAATTATAAATCCTCTGATTTATATTTGGTTAAAAAAATGTTTAAAAAAGAAGCATGTTGCCCCTCCAAGAGCGATTTGGTCTGTTTTAAAATTTGTACTGTTTTTTTGTTTAAAAAATTATTATAGATGATTATTTTATTTTATTTTTACTGTTCAAGATGCAAGTTAATAGGAAATACCTATAGTGCTGGCCTAGTAACCGAAAAGAAAAAGAGAAAAAACATGGAAAGCTTAGGTTGATATGACATACAAAAATCTAAGGCTTCTATTTGACATTTCTGATTGATTCATTCATATAAGTCAGAATAATATCCATTTTGTTTCAAATATTTCTTATTGTTTCATATAAGCCATAATAATTCGCTCTTCCAATTCTATCTGATACTGATAGTGTGCTGTGTGTGCCTAAAGAATACATGTTTAATTGAAAACTATTAAACAATCGAGAAAGTCAATCATCACAAAGTTTAAAACAGTTGGTTAGAGTTTTCTTATTCTAATAATTCAGATCCCCTAAGAGAATGAATCATTAATTGAAAATTTCCAGTTGTTTTGAAAGAACCAAAACTAAACAAAACTTGGCGCAGTAAACAAAAGTTTGTAGTTGAGTTTACATACCGAGGGCTTGTCTCTTGTGGTATGTGGACATGTAAGAAACTGGTCGAATGTTTGCAGGTACTGCGACATTGTCGAGTGACTCCAAATCACTTTCGGAATAATTAATTAACAAAGGAGTTGCTTGAGCTCCCTCCAAGTTCCCAGAGCTATTTGTTCTTCCTTGAGACGTGTCAGTGGAAGAAGATGTTAACAATGCATGCCATTTACATGCTACAGATGCAAGGCTTTGAGCTCTGTGAGACATTTTAGCAGCTGCATGCAAACAGAGGACAACGCCAACCACCTGAACAACAGAAGCTACCTGCAATGTGGATGTTAGAAGATATGCATGTAAATAAAGTGAGCCTAAGCGAGATTGCTGTGTTCATATTTTGCTAGTTCGGTTTTTCGCATGTTCGTCTTCAACTTGTGTTTGAAATTGTCTGTGAACATCATGGTCGTATTTGACTCGTTTGGTTCGAGCATAAAAAGAGCTGATTCTAAAATATATATATATATATAGCCAATATTAAGCCGGCCAGTATTGAACAAAGCTTTGTTTGTGTTCATCTCATTAAGAAGACAGCTCAAAATAATAGTTCCATATCAACTCACTTAAGGGTTGAATCAAATACGTGGTGTTCACAAATGATGAGATGTTTTGATAGCTCTAGTAGAATTAGGGGCGTCAATTTCGGGTCATGGGTCGGGTTCTGGTCAAACCCGAAATTAACCCGATACTATTCAGGTCAACCCGAACCTGACCTATTTTTGTAAATGGGTCGGTTTTTCAAACCCGAACCTGATCTATTTCAAGTCCGGGTTAACCCGACACAACCCGAATGACCCGGGACTATTAAAAGACTGTTAGCTTTCGGGTCAAAAAACAAGTCAATCTCCATATTTCGTGTAAAAAAAGGGTCGAAAACGGGTTAATCTTGAGTTTTCAATTTCAGGTCAAAGGGTCAACCCGAACCCGACCCGATTATTGAAACGGTCGAATTGTTAAACCCGAACCCGAACCATTTCGGGTCCGGGTTGACCCGAATACGAAATTTTCGGATCGGGTTCGAGTCAGGTTTTCAAATATTGACATCCCTAAGTAGAATACATAGGTAGAGTCTCTAGACAAAACAAGTAACTTAATGCTTCAAATGATTATCAAATTAAATTAAACTTACCGCTAAATCTCCAGAATTTGTGAAGCTGATAGTTTCTTTGTATCCAGTTGTCTGTATAAGAGCTACAAACTGACTTGCTGAGACAAATAAGAACACTGACAAAAGAAAAGCCCGAAACCTGTGGCTAATTTTGGAAAGATTATATCGCAGTCGGACATGCTCTTCAAGAAATACCGGTGTGTCCATATCCGTTTCTAGAAGTCTAGCATAATCCTCAAAGTGAATTACTTGCAAATTGCAAACCAGATTGAACAGAAGGCAAGATGCTAAAAAAACTGTAGTCAGGTAAATCCATGACACAATTGAGAATAACAAAACCACAGCAGCTTTCCATGTTGAGTCGTGAGAGATGGCCCCAAAACGGAGAATTTCACGAACAACTTTCACAATAAAGCAGGGCAGTATCCACCAAAGAAGCAGAAGGAAAAAATCCTGCAAAAGATGGCATGAAGAGGTTCAAAGTAATTCCAGAAAGATTTATTCAATAATATAAGGCCTGCAACTCAAGAAGCTTTTGCAAGTCAATCATGCAGAAAATCTATAAACGTACTTAAAGGAGAAAAGCAGAGGCATAGATATGCGACTAAATAATGATCAAGAAAATGAGTTGTCTTGTTGCCTTCAGCATTGCACAAATAGGATAATTAGAAGGAAAAAAAATGTAAAAGGTGACATGAGACAGCTATTAGTTTTGTGCGGAATTTAATTGTGTTGACCAATCGGCTTGTATTGTTACCTCAGACCTCAATTCAATTTGTTAATCTCGTTGGGGGGTTGCAGGGGGTCCTCTCCCTACTTAGGTTCGGATGCTTTGCAGTCAAGGCATGTTAATCTTAATGATATACTAAAGATTGTGAAGCTAACCAGTTAGTATGAATACTTTTTGTACTGAGGCTTGATGCGCCTTCTTAGACCTGCCTTCATTTTGAAAAATAGCATTGAGTGAAAAATAGCATATAAATCAACAGTAGAAAAAATAATTAGGGATGGGTGAAAAGGAATTCATTTTGAATGCTAGCACACTCGTTTATTAACAGAGACAATTGGCTTTGGCTCATGAGAAGGAAAGAGGAACACAAATTAAATGGGATAAACTAGCTAGAATTTTCTGATTGATGGGATTGGTGGAGACAGGGCAGTAATCTAGACGGCGGATACAGTGCATCTTCATTCTTCTCATATATCAGCACAACAGACAATTATATAAGACTTCTACTGAGCCTGGTACATATAAGACTTCTACCATTTAAAAATTGTAACATTTCTAATATTTGTAACGTACATATGTCATAAGGTATTCAAGTTCTTTTTATTCTCTTCTAAAGGAAATTATGAAGCATTTAGTGTTGACTTGTTGTCGTGCAGTTCTGCCATCTTTTTTTTTTCCAAAGATGTTGAAAATTCCAACATCTGAAATTATAAAAACTCTCCCAATTTGATTGAATTAACAAACTAGCTTCTTTTTTGAAGAATAATTTAAAATTCCTCTCTTCTCACGCATCTGATGTGGGGAGAATTGTCGGAAGAAGAGGATGCAAGAAGGAGATCTCAATCCACAGAACAAACCAAGCACTAAGCTTCAAAAAGAGATAATATTCATCAATTGTCTTTACTACTAAAATATTTTGCCTATTTATAGGCTAATAAGAACATTCTAGAAACCATAAGTATCAAATTTATAACAAACTATGATAAACTATTCCTAAAGAGTATTCTACGACCTTGCGGACCTAACGGACATGAATCAAAGATGCAAAATTTTCGATCCAGGAGGGTTACTCATGATTACTACACCTATCCCCCTCCCTATGACCTCGACGGAGTAGGAACATCTTTAGTAGAATAATCCTTAGGAATAGTTTATCATATTTTGTTATAAGTTTGCTACTTATGGTTTCTTGAATGTTCTTATTAGCCAATAAATAGGCAAAGTATTGTAGTAGGAAAGACAATTGATAAATATTATCTCTTTTTGAAGTTTAGTGCTTGGTTTATTCCCTGGATTGAGATTTCCTTCTTGCATCCTCTTCTTCCAACGATTATCTCCTCACATCAGTATCGTTACTAATTGACAATCATTAGAGCACAGGTCCCCAATTTTAAAGTAGATAATTTATTTCTCTATTTCTGAATGGCTGCTATGTTTATCCCTCTTTGGTCAATTGACCGGTTGATCTAAAAAGACAATAAGTTTATTTTCAGTTTTTCACCCTTGCATGAAAGAAGTGCGTAACTGGTAGTCAAAATTTTTTTTAAAAAATTTAGCTTACAATCGCAGATAAACCTCTGCAAAAATCAAATCAAAATTTTGACTTAGTTAGCAATGCATCTTACCTGGACTTTACATCAAACTCTTTTCATTCATAACCATTTGATGCAGGACTACAATGATTTTAAATGAATGCGTTAAGAACTTGCACGATTTTGAAAAGAACAAGAACAAGAACAATTAAGACTATTAGCTATTTAAAAATAAAAGAGAAAACGTAAGAGCGGACATTACGTTTAGGCCAAATTACATGATAAACGCTTGAATTATCAAAACAATATAGAATTTCAACAACATGCGAATTAAGTAGTGTTGAAATCCAGCCGTTCCTAGCACAAAGGATCCGACGGACATAAAGATCAATCCGTGGGATACTCTCATGGATCACGCCATAATGAGGGAACGAATTTAGGAAAGATTTTATTTTCTTATTTGTGTATTAAAATTTGCAATTTATTATTTCCTCATTAGGATATCTTGTATAGATCTATAAATAGGGAAGATTGTAATGAATAAAGATAAGCTTTTCCCTCTAAATTCTCAGTTTTAACATGGTATCAGAGCAAACGGCTTTAATCGCCATTCTTTAGGAACTTCTGATCGGAACTTCCGATCCGAGAGGAAAGCCAAAGTTGTCAAAGGAGCTAGTCGAACGAGCCGAAGGAGCGTCTACCTGATCCGTCAAAAGAGGAAAGACGACGAAGGAGCGAAGCAGCCCGCTCGTCCCTTCCCTTCCTATCGCACGTCCTTCCGATTGCACGTCCAGGACAGACGATTCCCCGCACACTGAAATCGGAAGTTGAGACGTGTCGAAGCACCGTTCTAAACTTCCGCTCCAACAGGAAGGACAGGACGTCATCGGAGGATAGTCGAACAACAACGAAGGAGCCAAAGAAGCTACTTGGGCAAACTTTGCACTCCGGCGAAGCGACGAAGTTGAACGAGAAGGGAACGGAAGCCCGATCCTTCGCGGCTCTTCCACTCGATCGGCAGGAACCGCACGGAGTCTCGGTCCGTCTGCTCTTTCCCGATCCCGCTTGGTGGAGGAGCCTGACCCGTGCCTTTTAAGAGGCTCGGCTGTTTTTTAGTAAGTCCAAAAAAAAAAACTTATTTCGACCTTTATTGTCGAACAAGAGAAATTTTCTTTGGGAAGCCTTCATTGCTAACCACAGACATACAGATAGTCGTAATTACTATCATAATGTCAGAAATTAATTCCTCTCAGAGTATTGAACAAACTGAGGAGTTGATGGTGCACCAAGGACGAGGTGATCTTCAAACCATTCAACCTTCCTATTGTCTAAATGGGAAGAACTACCTGAAGTGGTCTCAATTTGTGAAGACCTACTTGAAAGGGAAAGGTAAAATACATCATCTCCTTGGAGAAGGACCAAAAGAAGGAGATCCCAAATTTGGGGCATGGGATGAAGCAGACTCCATGATTATGTCATGGATGTGAAATTCCATGACTCCAAAAATTAGTGACACATTTATGTTCCTTTCAACGGTAGAAGACATATGGGATGCTGCCAGACAAACCTACTCCAAAGCTCGTGACGCGGCCCAAATCTTTGAAGTTAAAGTCAAAGTTGGAAGCACGAAGCAGGGGAGCAAGACTGTGACGGAATATGCCACCATTCTACAAAATCTGTGGCAAGAACTTGATCACTATAGGTGCATTGAAACCAGATGTCCGGAGGATGCTGCGATCCTAAAGAACTTTATTGAAAAAGATAGAGTTTATGATTTTCTTGCAGGACTTAATGCAGAATTTGACCAAGTTAGAGTTAAGATCCTTGGCAAGGAGGAAACGCCATCACTCAACGAAACCATTTCTCTCATCCGCGCAGAAGAAAGTCGACGAGGAGTAATGTTAGAACCAAAGACAGTTGAAAGCTCAGCAATGGTGATGAACAAAGAATCGTCATGGAAGGAGAAGGGGATGAAATGCAGGCCCTGGAGAAGAACGAAACATGGGAGATCGTCAATCTACCGATAGGGAAAAAATCGGTCGGCTGCAAATGGGTGTTCTCAGTAAAATACAAAGCTGATGGCACACTGGAGAGATATAAGGCAAGACTAGTGGCAAAAGGGTTTACTCAAACGTACGGCATTGACTACCAAGAAACGTTTGCGCCTGTAGTTTAAGATGAATACTGTCCGAATACTACTCTCACTAGCAGCCAAGTACAATTGGCACCTGGAACAACTGGATGTGAAAAATGCATTCCTACATGGGGACTTAGAAGAAGAGATATTTATGGAAATACCACCAGGTTTTAAAGAAAAATCTGAAGGTAACAAGGTGTGCAAACTGAAAAAGGCTCTATATGGGCTCAAACAATCACCAAGGGCCTGGTTCGGAAAATTCTCTAAATTCATGCTCTTGAATGGGTATCAACAGAGTCAAGGGGATCATACACTATTCTTCAAACACTCAGACTCAGGGGGAGTCACAATACTATTAGTGTATGTTGATGATATTATTTTGACTGGAAGTAATGAAGAGGAGAAAGCCAGTTTAAGGAAAAATCTGGCTAAGGAATTTGACATCAAAGAACTTGGTAGACTAAAATATTTTCTTGGAATTGAAGTAGCTCACTCCAGCAAAGGAATCTTCATTTCACAACAGAAATACATCAAAGATCTTCTAAGAGAAACAGGTAAACTTGCCTGTAAGCCAGCACCAACACCAGTAGAACCTAATCTTAAACTGGGAGAAGCTAAAGAAGATCCAGATGTAGATAAAGGAGCCTACCAGAGACTTGTAGGGAAATTGATCTACCTCTCTCACACTAGACCGGACATAGCATTTGCTGTAAGCATGGTCAGTCAGTTTATGCAGAATCCAAAGCAGATTCACATGCAAGCGGTAGACAGGATATTGCACTACCTTAAAGGAAGACCAGGAAAAGGAATTCTCTTTAAGAGAGATCATGGAATGACTCTAGAAGTATACACAGATGCTGACTACGCAGGATCACCGGTTGATAGAAGATCTACCTCTGGGTATTGCACATTTCTTGGAGGTAACCTAGTTACATGGAGAAGAAAGAAATAGAATGTGGTGGCAAGATCTAGTGCAGAAGCAGAATATCGAGCTATGGCCTTGGGAATATGTGAGCCACTGTGGATCAAAATAATCCTAGAAGATCTGAAGGTTAAGTGGGATGAGCCCATGAAGATACATTGTGACAAAAAATCAGCAATCAGCATAGCCCACAATCCAGTCCAGCATGACAGGACCAAGCACATAGAAGTGGACCGACATTTCATTAAAGAAAAACTAAACAGTGGTCTAGTAAGTGTTGACCATGTATCATCAAAGGATCAACTTGCAGATTTCCTTACTAAAGGATTGGACAGTTCTGTTTTTCTCCGTATGATTGACAAGCTGGGAATGACAGATCCGTATTTCCCAGCTTGAGGGGGAGTGTTGAAATCCAGCCGTTCCTAGTACAAAGGATCCGACGGACATAAAGATCAATCCGTGGGAACGAATTTAGGAAAGATTTTATTTTCTTATTTGTGTATTAAAATTTGCAATTTATTATTTCCTCATTAGGATATCTTGTATAGATCTATAAATAGGGAAGATTGTAATGAATAAAGACAAGCTTTTCCCTCTAAATTCTCAGTTTTAACAAGTAGTTTTCAACAAAAATCTTTAATCTAATAATAAGATAGCAACATAGAAAGCACGCTCAATCCTACGTTTACTAAGCAGAGGCAGAAGGCGAAGAACGGTTCCTTGTGCCTTGTCACCACCTACAAGATTAGTGGATTATGAAAGTAAATGAAAAGGGGAAGAAGTTCACCCTTTGGAAGGTCTGGAAACGATTTTCCACTGGGCGTTGGCAAGTTGCTCGTCAATGGCCTCTGATAGCGTGAAGATAATACGATCCACGTACTCTTCGATGGAACGATCAACTTCCGGATTGAAATCGAAGAAGGGGGAGTGGAGGATGTTGACGTATCATTGCTCGTCGTAAGTGAATCCGTAGTCAACCTATGGATTGACCATTCATTGGCTTTGATAGAAAGATGTATAGACGAAGATAAATGGTGATCCCTTGAAAGCTCCACTAGAGATTTTGGAGGAGGAAAGTGATTCAAGCGATTCCCAAATTAATCCCTTGATTGGGAGAAATTAAGAAAAGGGGGAAGAGAGGGAGCGGCAATAATAGAGGGGGGAAGGGATTTAATTTAATTCCAAATAGGAGAGAAGATCTTTGGAAAGAAATTAAATAGGTATGGGCATGGCCAAAGGGGCGGGGATTGAGTTTGAATTGTTTCCAAGAGAGGAGGTGGGCTTTTAGGAAACAATTCCTAATTCAAACCCATACGGGGGCCGGCAGCTATAGAGGGAGGGGTTTAATGAGGCATTCAATGCTTACTTAAATTATTAAATTAAGTTTGAAAAGAAAGATCTCATCCCATCTTGATGCGGACATCCGACGGTGGACGATATTCAAAGGAATAGTCGAAGATTGACAGCAAAGATCACTCCGTTTTATTTTACTTTATTAATTGTATTTTGATTTTATTTTATTTTTTTTCTTGTTTACCCTTTTTATTTAAGAGTCTTGTCTTATGTAAGCCTAAGGGGCAAATTTGTCCTTTAGTTTCTTTTGAGACCTATATATAGAGGCTCATTCTCTTGTATTAGGTATGATAGAATTATAATAAAATTTATGTTTTGAACTTTTGTTCTTTTGGGAGGATGTTAGTGAGATTCTTATGGGAAGGAATCAGAGTTTTCACCAGCCGCGGGATGGGTTCGAGCTCATGACTTGAAGTCCCTTGGAGAAGGGCAACATATCACCCGTCAGTCTTCGGAAGAGTCCAAAGTTCGCGGTTTTATTTTTTATCTTTTGTTTCTTTGTTTTTGTTCCTTCTTGTTGTTCCAAGTCGCCATCTTCATCCTCTCCCCTTGGCCGAAATCCACCATGGCTCCACCCACCTGCCAGCCACCTCCTTCCCTAGCCCCACTTCCCTCCAAAAATCCCTCTTTCCTTATTTAGGTTGCCATTAATTTGGAAAGATTTTAAATTCAACTTAATCTAATTTGAATTTCAAAATCCATCCAAACTCCCTCTTGATTATCTTCCTAAATTAGATTTTGTTAATTTGGAAAGTCATTCAATTTTGAATTCAAATAAATTCAAATTTCAAAACTTTTTCAAAGCCTCCTCCAATTACTCTCAATCTGAAATTAATTTCAGATTAAATTCCCCCGATTCTATTTAATGATTGATCTACATACATTGTATGTGGACACCTCTCCTCCCTCTCCATATGGTCGGCCCCCTCTCTCACCTCCACTCTAATTAATGCATCTCCATTAAGGCCCTCAATCAACTCCAATCACCCCTAGTAACTGCCGGCCCCCATCCCTCATCAAATTCTAATTAATCCCTCCCCAATTAAGGTGATTTGAAATTCAAATTTCCCTCCACTTCCAATTTTTTTGAAATCTGAAATTAAATTCATATTTTAATTTTTCAAATGACCCCTCCCCCCATATCCGTTCTACATCACATCTTAATTCAAAATTTAAATAGGAGTTGATTTAGTAAGTTTCCTAAAATAAGATTTATAAATAAGGTAACTATTTCAAATTCAAATTGATTTGAATTTGATCATTAATAGAGTTATCAAAATTATGAAATCTAATTTAGGAAAGACTTGGTGGCAAGTGGAGATGGGGAAAAGCCAAGGGGTGGGCCGGCGGTGGAGGTTGCCTGTGGATGGGGTGGGATTGGGTCTAGGTGGTGGGTGGTGGTGGGGTTGGGTATAGGCGGCGGGTGGTGGTGGGGATTTAAGTGGTCGGCGGCCTAGGGGTTGGGATGGCCTTAGGCCGGCGACTAGCGGATGAAGGAAGGGGAACAAAGAGATAGGAAGAAGAACCACGAACCCGGCTATCTCCAAGGTTGGTGGGTGATCTAATTTCCCTCTCCTAGGGGTTTCTCTCCCAAGCACTCTCAAGATCACATAAAGAACTCAAGCAATGGAAAAATTTTATCATTCATTCATTAAACATGAAAGGAGAACAAGAGGGCTATATATAGCCTCGTACAAAGGACTCAAAATAAAAAGACGACAATGCCCTATGGGATTACACACGAACTCCTTTAAGTAAGGGGTAAAAGTGGAAAACTACTAAAACAAATACAACATAAAATAATAAAAGACAAATACATAATACGACTCAGAAGTACATCGACTCAATCGTGGCCATAGATCGACGGCCACGTCTCTGATAGACTTTCCAAGCTCTGATGTCTCCATCACCATTCCTATAAGGGACTCCTCATTCACAGCCATAATTACGCAGGACACACTCCTCCAATTCCAGAGTCAAACAGATAGTGCTATATCTTATCAGCGCCAAATGGATATTGTTATATGCCTATCATGCTCAAGTAGACCTAACCATCACGACATTTTTTTTTTTTTTGCTTCAAAAGCTTCACAGCAGGTCACTCGGAGTGTGTGTGAAGGTGAAATTATGCAATAAAGCTCTTATTATCGCAAAAGATCTTCACCTATATGTGCATGACTGGATATTTCAGTTACCAGGGAAAATGATGTTTTTCTTCTCCAGTTCATAACATCAAAACAATGAATCAAAGTTAAAAAGAAAACTGGTCCGATCCAAATAAATTTAACCAGCCCATTACAAATAGATCCTCATGGTACAATCAAATTGTATCTAGGAAACCTGGAGAAGCATGAAGCAATTTTTTTTTTAATTTTTAATTTTTTATTTTTTTTAAGAAATAGTGATAACAACACTATAAGAAGCATGAAGCACTGATTCTCAAACCTAAGGTTAAAAAAAACATAACGCTTACGTTGTTACTCCTCCATGACACAGGAAATTTGTTACTCTAGCCAACAGCTTTAGCAGGACAGCTAAGTTGCTAAAGAGGTCATCTTTGGAGGTTTTTCCAACTAGAAGAAGAAATTTAAAGAGAGAAAAAAACGGAGGAAGGATAGTTTACCAAACCTACTGAAGTTGGGCTTCATTTGTTAAAACAAACTAGATCAAGGATAAAGAAGCAAACCGATGAATCCAAATCCCTAGGTTTAAGAACCAATTTCCTGTTGCGCACAATCATACCTGGATCTTCCGAACATACTCTTTCTGGAATCGATCAGCCTGGCCGTGGTGCTGATCGACGAATAGAAACCTGCGGATTCCATACTTGTAGAGATTACGGGATACGCATGCGAGGGATACTGCGGCGAGCAACACCCTGAATACAAGCACGGTGACCTCGAAGCGCTCGATCCAATAGCTGTCGCACCCTCCGTGCGGGCAGAGGGTGAGTATAATGGTCGAAACGGGGACGGCCACGCCAAGGAGGAGGAAGGCGGAGGCGCAGAGGAGGAGTTTGAGAATAGATGAGTGGGAGTGGAAGCCCAGAAGGGAGAGAAAGACCTCGAGCCGGCGGAGAGAGCGATCGAGGTCCGTCTCACTGGGATTTAGGAGAGGAGTGTGGGTGGCTGCGGATGTCGAAGACTGAAGGCAGTCCCCTTCTAGGGTTTCGGGACCTCCGGCCATAGGAGTGAAAGAGGGACGAGAGAGAAAGGAGGAGCTGAGTGCGGCTCCGCTTCTCTAGGAGTCGAAGATCTCAAGACGAATGCTTTGAAGGAACTATGGGGAGAGGACTGAGTAGTGAGTGCTGAGTCTAATAGCGGGAGACAGCCTCAGCAGCACCCCAATATATATATATATATATATATATACATCATCAAAATTTATTCTTACATAATAAAAAATCATGAAGTTTAATCCAATTTTAAGAAATCATTATATAATGAAAGATATGCACAATTAAATAAGATGAGATTATACTAGCTGAGAACAATGATCTGATTTTTGTTATAGAAATTATAACAATCAGACGTTCACAAGCATATGAGCTTAATAATAATAATCGTATGAAAAAAATTTGATAATTATAGAGTCAATTGCTAATAATTTTTTTTATAGTGATTGTCAAAAAATACAAAATAGTTTTTTTCATTATGATTGTAAAAAAATAAGACCCTATTTAATGGAGATGAGAGGAAGATAATGGGCAATAGAAATATAACAAATTAAAAATTAAAATAAGAACACAAATCTCCTCATCAAATGAATGTTTATTCTAAAAGATCTCACCAAGTCATCCATAAGATATTTCCTCTCTTAATTTAAAAAAAAAATTCAAATATAATTATATTTAGGCATTTTATTCTATATATTTAAAAGCATTATAAGTAAACGGTAGACAAAACATCACAAGGGATTGAAGGGTGGCCAAACAATCACTTAAAACACTTTGGAATTAGCTTCAGGCTTTTTTTTTTTTTGGAAACTCGAAGGATGTTTAAGATTTTGTTTGAGATAACTTTTTTAATGCTTTCAAAATCAGCTTTTTAATACAAAATTTTCTAATTCAAAAATTTTTTATATAAAAAAACTATTTTAGAAAGCAATAAAAAAATGGTTCCAGACAAAGCATAAAAGTTTAGGGATTTTTTGTATACCCAAAACATCTCTATTTACTTATCTCACACTTAAACTTTAATTTTTACTCTTTCACCACCGTAATAACATATCCCTCATCAAACATAACATTCTATCTTCTCCGGTCGAAACCAAGTCGCGAAAATAGCCATTTACAAGCAAGAAACATCTCCGAGCAGCTTTCTCACATTGCGTCTTCTACGAATACAACCTCCATTTTGATAAATAGAGCAGCTCCCCTTCTCTCATTTCCAACGGACCGATGCTTATCTTTGTCACACTGGTGCAAACGTCCGAAAAGCCTTTCGCGCGCGGGAAATATCTTTGAGCAGCTCTCTCGTGTTGTGTCTTCTATGAATACAACCTCCATTTCAATAAACAGAGCAGATCCCATTCTCTCCTTTTCATCGGATTGATGCTCATCTTATCACGTCAGTGCAAACGTCCACGGTTCAGAAATTTCTTGCAAATTTCTTTATTTAGGTAATTTCTTTATTCAGTATTCTATTTAGATCGAAGAATTTTTATAGAAGTGGAAACAATTTGTTTGAACTTAGCCTTCTGTAGAGATTGTAAATATTCTTTAGTTCTCCTTATATTTTCCTATTCTTTATTCTTGTTCATACTGATTGCTTGAAATTTTTTTCATTAGTTACTGAACTCGCAAATATGGATTGCAACAATTTATATTATATTGTCTTCAAATATGGATGATAGTGGGTTGCTACGAAGGGCCAAAGTAGGATGAAATATGTCTATATAAGTAAAAAAACTTTGAAGTTCGTGAGAGGTGATATTAATTTGTTACTATTGAAGTAACAAACTGAAGCACTTTGACAATGGCTTAGGGGTCAACCCTATGACATACATTATCATATTAATGGAATAACGCCTAAAATTTATATGTCGATCAGTAATGATAGAGATGTAATGGACATGCTTACACATTCATGTAATGGAAATAAAGTGGAGGTGGTGGTTATATTGAAAGATCTTGAAGAAAATTTGAGGAATGCTGATGACATTCAATATGGTGATATGCAAGATTTAAGTGTGAGCAGCAGGGTGAATAATGAAATAATAGTAGATGGGTTGTGTGATGGTGGCTTTGTGGCTCAGGTTGAATAAATGCATTCTTTATGTGTTGGTTCGTATTTTAAGGATTTATCAAGTTTTAAACAAGCTATTCATTTCAATATAATTGTACATAACTTTTGTATCAAGATTAAAACTAATGATAAATCAAGAGTTATTGATACATGCCCATGTCATGGATGTCCATGGAGAATATTTGTTTCATTATGTTCAGATGGTCATTCATTCGAAGTTAAAAAATTACAAGCTTCACATTTATGTCTGCAGGTAAACAGAGCTAGAAATAAGCAAACAACTGCTACCTGGATTGCTCATGAAATCAAAGATATTATAAAAAAGAATTTGATATTACACAAAAGAACATAGGCAATAATTTAGATACAACTTTTGGTTTGTCTTTGCCATATATGAAAATATGATGTTCTAGGGAATTAGTAAGAGAGCAGATATTTGATTCAGTAGATGATAACTACAAGTTGATGTCCACACTAAAGTTAGAATTAATCAATAGGAATCTTAACTCCTATATAATGTACTTATGTGTCAACCAAAATCACTCATTTAAGTGGTTCTTTGTTAGTTTCAAAGTTTGCATTGATGAGTTCTTTACTGGATGTCGATATTTAATTAGCATTAATGCTTGTCATTTGAACTCAAAGTATTTAGGAGTACTACTATCCGCAAAGTATTTGGATGTGAATAATTGTTTCTTCACTATTGCATTCGACGTTGCAGAATCTGAATCAAAGAGAATGTGTCTCGTGAATTTGGCACAAGTTTTTAGTATTAATGTATAACATTTAGCCTTTATATAAGATATGGAGAAAGGGCTAGGTGAAGCGATTAAGGTTGTCTTTCCTAATACTGAGCACAAAGTTTATATGATGCACCTTTAGAAGAATATTAAAAAAAAAATTATTGTGATGATAGCCACAGATTGTAGAAGTTGTAGAGTGTTGTAGAGTCCTGAAGTTTATTCGTAGCTAAGTTCTTTGACATGTAAGTAGTCGAAAGTTACTTTCTCAAAGCATATTAAGAATTACTACAACACAAATAACATGGTCAAATCCTTCAATTCATGGATAGATGAGGCAAGGAGTAAGTCCATTGTGGATTTGATCAACATGATAAGGGGAATGTTGATGGAATAACGATCACAATGGAAATTACACTCTACTTCTTTGAAGGGCTCTCTAGTTCCGTTTGTAGAGGGCTATATTAGAGATGTTACAATAAAAAAAGAATATTTCATTAGACGCGAGTCAACATTATCAAAAGTCAAGGTTGAAGGAAGTTTTGGGCATCATGAGGTAAACATAAAGAACCATTTCTGTACCTATGGGTTTTTGGCAATTATATGATCTACCATGTGTGCATGGAACATTTGTTGGAACAAACCATCACAATTTGTGGCACACATATATGGATAAGCACTACTACAGCTATAGGTTTGTTATCTTATTCAATTAATTCTTATGTTAATGCCATTTGTCTTAACTACAATATATTGTGTAAGTACAGAATTGTGTATGATGGAGCTATTGCAACACTTCTGGAAAAGAAATAGTGGTCTATACTCAATGATGGCAAGATTGTTTTTCCGCCTGTTACACTCAGGCCTCATGGCCGACCAAAGAAAAGATGAATAAAAAATTCTTAGAATGTGCAAAGAAATAAAAAAATAAGTCTTAAATATGGTCGCAGCAACTCTTGGGTCACAATAAAAGCACTTGCAAGGAGCTTATAAGCATTGAAGGAGAAGATATATAGTAATAATATGTGCAAAGATACACATTCGGGGTGGGGGGGGTGGGGGGGGCAGAATTTAATTCTGGTCTATAAGAATGACCGATATCTTAGGAAGAATTTAAATGATAACATTTTTTTATGTTCCCTTCAGTTCTGATGTTTTTTTGCTCTTTTGAAAGAAATGCTGATTTTCTATCTTTAGGAGTTATTTATGTAGTTCAAGATTTGTTGATATATACTTTATATGAATATTTAGATTCATTTTGTGCAAAGAAAGTATTCTAAGAAATATTATTTATTGTGAAGCAACTTCAATGCCAAAATGGATATTGTAGAATGAATACAAATACAACAATAGATATTTATTCTTAATTTCAAGATAACAATGAAAAACTCCTTTATTGATTCTTAAAAAAATTGCAAAAAACATTGTCTCCAGGCACGACCATTACTAGTTGCCATGCCTGAGCTCTCTTATCTGTCATGTTCAATCTAGTTTCTTATTTAACAAAAATAGGAAACGAACTTGCAGGCTACACGGAAATGCAGAACTATTAGAATACATTAAGATAAAATACAGCAACAATCAAACAATCGCTAATTTATAAAATCTATCATGATAGCAGATTGATGAATCTTCTTGACCGCAACATTCCTTCTTTCTTCATCAATATCACATGTATTTGTAAGCAATAATGCACGCTAACTTTCATAACAGAATACTTGGATTCAACAAGAGATATTATCGAGACAGTTTTGCACTCATCGAGGTGACCTTTTCATAATGAAAGCTTACTAAAATTTTTAAGCATAAAACGATTGGTGGTACAAAAAATGACAATAGAACTTCAACTTATAATTCACAACAGAAGTTCAACTTTTATATTTAGTAATAAAATCATATACAAATAATGATAGAACTTTAACTTCTTTTCATTAAAACATAAGACACAAAAGTTTCTTATGTAACATTCTAAGTTACATTCATTTGCAATTAGAAGTCTTCGATAGAGAATTGACGGCAACAACAATAGCAACAAGCAAAATCAGGATAACCAACAAGAATTTTATTTGAAGTGATTCAAATGTAACTCAGACTGCATGCTTGGAATGAACTTCTGATGCATTTGCACTCCTTAAGCGATTCATATCTTCTAGTTCATCATTTTCTTCATCAAACCACTTAAAAAATTTACAATCATATTCCAATCTGTTTCGGTGGCATCTATAGATTTTTCTTCTGCGATTATAAGCTTTGTAGTAAGTATATATTTAACATTACAGATTGCAATGACAATATATTGGATTGTCTAGGCTTCTCGTTGATGGTGTCAAGCGGCTCGAACTCATGTCAGAAATCCTCAATTACTACAATCAACAAAGGTAGTAGTCAACTAAATCATATACTAGAAAGAAAACCAATTACTGGTTATGTAATTACAACTTGCAGGTTTTAGTTGATTATGTTGATTTTGTCAGTATGGATTCTTCGCTTACTTGCTACTTGCTACTACATTTATTATACAAAAAACCAACCTGATAACCATAAATCAAATAGGTTAACATTTTAGGCAAAATTATATATTTCCATCTCACCACAGAACTATATAGGTCTGTCAAATATCTACAAATTTGTTTTTCATTTTTTTTCTATATTTTCACAAAATCATGTGTTCAATAAAGATATTTAGTCCGAATGTGGATTGCACGGATTTTAATTCAGCCGCCTCAATATGGACTAAACAAATATATATATGGATCTAGTGGCATTTTATCGAACAACTGATATACAATAGTTATCTAAGATGAAAATGCCATAACTAAAACATTGATGAAAAAAATGCAAAAAACCAAATCATCCAAAATATTTTGCATTTAGAAATTGCAAATTCGAAAAAAAAAAATCAAAGAGATTTTAAAAGAGATTATATAGAGAAGAATAGGAAGGAGGAAAAGAGAAGAATGGGGAGAGTTCACCTTGCAAAGGAAGGAGAGCCGTCCGCTAGGGCATGTCGGCGGTGTCGGCTAGAGCTGGTGACCGGCGGGAGAGAGAAGAAAATGGGTTTCGGACCTTGGAGTTTCTTGCGAATAGACAGCCCCGAGCGGACGATTTGAGTGGTATCAAGAAGGTTTTGACGGAGAGGAAGACATAATGTTATTTTAGAAAGCCGAATAAGTTTTAGGTGGTAGGTGTGTAAATATGCAAGTTTAGGTGTGAGATAAGTTAATAGTGATGTTTTCGGTATTAGGTATGTAAAAATCCCAAATGTTTAACCATTGATTCCCACTCCTAGAAGATAAAGCATTGCATTAATATAAGCTTCATGATTGCTTGCTTTGGCTTGAACTTTGATAAAGCCCTAAGATGACGTGACATACTTTGACATCAACTTATACTAAAAATTAGCTCATATGTCATTTAGCTTTTTTAATGAATATAAAAATATTTTATATTTGAAATTTTAAAATAGGAATTAGGGCCTAAGATAAAAGTTTGCACAAGATTTTTTATGGGAGTAGGGGGATAACAATAATTTTATTAGAACTTTAACTAACAACATGAGATGCAAAATATTACATTTGTGAGGAGAAATATTTAGGAAGTCAAAAGTTTAATTTGAAGAAGATGGAATGATAAAAGAATTTTTTTCAATTGATATAAATTATTGTGCCCTTTTTCATAATATAATTAAATAAACTAAGGCTTTATTCTGGACAGCTTTCTTATTACTTTTTGAAGCAGCTTTTTAGTATAAAAATTTTTAGTTTAAAGATTTTTGGTACTAAAAAATAGCTTTAGAAAGCAATTAGAAAATCATCTCAAATGAAATCTAAAGAATACAAAATACACGCTTACAATTAATCAATCAAATCATACAAATATGACATCATTTAAACTAACTTTGAGTGTATTATAAAGAGTTAAGAAAAACAATTTAGTTATGACTATTTAGCTCATTGAAATTAACAAATTGAACTACACTGGCTAAACTAATTATTTAACGAACCCTAATAATTTTATGTGTGCATATTTAAACATAAATAATAGTGATTTAAATAAATTATTACTTAAATAAGTGTTAAATATATATGTATAATATTAATGATTTTCTCGACGTCTAATCATATGACATAATTAATCTAATTAATCCAAGAAATTAACTAAATTATAAACTATGCAAATAATATAAACAAAGAAATTAAAAATTTTCTTTTAATCAATGAACTTATTGAATGAATTATATTTTCTTTTAATAAAATTTTAAATATTTTAAAGATAGATTAGTTCTTCATTAAAATTATTAGCCACATTCCAAATTTTTAGGAAAATTTTGAAACTATCAAAGCCCAAGAACTGGCTAGGTTTCTTGGGCCGATTTAATAGGCGAGATTTTCGCTGGCGGAAGTCCGGTTAGCCAATCAGGCCCACTATAAAAATAACCCCCAAGCGCCCTTCTGACCCCAAAACCCTTCTCGCTTTCGCTGTGCGTCTCCTCTAACGACAAAGCCAAACCCTTATTTTTCTGAATCACAGACTGCGAGAATATCAGAATACAACATTCCGCCGCCATGTTCACGTTCTGTCGCCGGAGCATCTCCGCCGCCACGAGATTGCTTTCTCGATGTGTGGACGCCACACCTTTCCGCCGGAGGTTTGGTGCGGCGGTCGAGCTCGAATACGACGAGTGGGACGAGGACCATCGTTTCAGTCACGGATCGCCGCCGATGCCACCGATGGCAGCCACGGCTAAGTGGGGGAATATGAACGAGAGGGGCGTGCATTGGGTGTTCATGGGGAGCGCTGGAGCGCAGAAGAGGGAATACGCTACACGGGTCGCGCAGCTCCTCAACGTCCCCTACATCTCTATGGGAGCCCTCGTACGCCAGGAACTCCAGCCGCACTCATCGCTCTATACTAAGGTTCATTCGATCTCTCTCTCTCTCTCTCTCTCTCTCTCTCTCTCTCTCTCTCTCTCTCTCTCATATGTTATTGTGGGGATTATTTGCAGCAAAAGCTTGCGATCCACCGTGATTAGTGTAATCTGATGCCTATTCCGTTTGGTTTTAATGGATTGCTGTAATTTGAATGTTCGGCTTTGTAAATGGGAAATTCTTTTGATTTTTTCCCGTGCTTGTAAAAATTGAGGGTTTTTCCTTTATTTATTGATAATTCTTTCTTGTAAAATTTCTAAATTATTTAAGACTAATGTACTAGCATACAAGAGATGAAATTTCTGAAATCTATGCTATATTCTTCTATAGATAAATTTTGGAAGTAAATTTCTATTTTTGTGAATTTTAAAGGGCTTTCTTCAATTTTATTAAATTCTTTGATTGTAAAGTCTCTTATTCAAGAATTGTAGACTAGAGATCAAATTTCTCGATTATGGATTTTAAAATCTATTGTGAAAATTAAGGTGTTTGACTGTTTTCCTCTAATTATTGGATTTTCTTTCTTGCAAAATATATTGATTATTCAAAACTGTTGGATTGGTAGACAACAGGAGGTGAACCCTCTAAATTCTAAAGAAACATTTGGAGAGTATCATTTGTCAAAATAAGTTCTCCATTGAGAAGGAGAGGAGCAGACGAAGCTGATTTGGAAATTTGTTATTGTGTGCGCGTGTGTTCCACAGTTCTCAAACCCTAGTTTAGGTATTCGAAGGTTACCTTTGTAATTTGGCGGAATCTAGGGCTTGCGTGTCTTTTTTTATTTGAAGAATCACGTGGTACACATATCGCATCACTTATTTTGTTTCCCTTTTATGCCCTTGAGGACTTACGACGTTGGATTGCTCAACTGCCAAAGAGAAGTCCGTTAATGTTGAGTTCCAAATTGACTGTTACAGGACTTTTTTTGTTTTTCAGCCTTTCCAGTTTAATTCTCTTCGATTATTATTTCAAAGCTTTTTAATTCTGTACTTATCTTATGTTTCCTTTTGATTGGCAAGATTGCAAGTGCCCTAAACGAAGGGAACCTTGTTACAGAGGATATCATCTTCGGTTTGCTATCAAAACGGCTTGAGGAAGGTTATGACAGAGGCGAGAATGGATTCATTCTTGGTGGAATCCCCAGAACTCGTATTCAAGCTGTAAGTCTCAACATCTTTGTTTCCATTTCAAATTAGCCATAACTGTTTTGCCTGTATAGGATGAGATGATGTGTTTTTATGCTTTACTGATTAACCATTTGATAGTTAAAACAAAAAAAAAAACATTTTTGATAAGCTGAAGTAAGAATTTTTGGTTTAGCAGAGGTTCTGATTGATTTTAAACTCATATAAATGTTCTATCTGTGGAACCTGTTTTCTTGTGGGAGTTATTGTGTGCGTCAATGGAGTGGTATTTTGTTGAATTCTGAAATCCATATCTTTTTCTTTAAAAAGAAATGTTAAGTTTGCTACCCGTAGACATCACTGATACATTTCCAAGTGATATTTGTAACAGAAAATGATTGCTTTTAATATTTCTAGTATCTTGTCACAGGAGATCCTTGATGAGATTTCAGACATTGATTTGGTAGTAAATTTGAAGCCTGCAGAGGATTGTTTGGTGAAAAAACATACTGGAAATGACATATGTGCAAGGTGTGGAAAGATTTATGATATCTTCAATCCTCAATCCACCCGTCTCAATCCATGTTTAGCCACAAGTACAAGTCATTCCAAACTGAATACTTCAGCGGCATTTGATATGGACAAATCTCGCTTGGAAAAATTGCAAATGTATTCTGAGCAGGTATTCCACTTTCCCAAACAATGCTTTATTTTTGCAAGGATTCAAACATAGAACCTCTACTTTGGGAGAAGTATAATATGCCTAAACAATACTTTATTGTGGACTTGTTAGTACTGCTCTTGTTGGTTTCTTACTTCTTTCTTTTTCCTCGTTATTATCTCAAATTTGTTTTTGGTTTTGTCATTAGAGCTATACTTGCATGTTTATTGTTGGTACACTTGAAGGGGAAAAAAATACAATTCATTTAAAACATATTTCATTAGAATATTTAGTTTCTTCATGATTCATTGCTTTTGCTTAGTTCCATTTCTGATATCGTCTGTAAATGTTAAAATGCTGATGTAGAATTTTATTTAGTTGCTGACAATATCGTAGAAAGCATATAAGTTGATTAAATTTTATATGACATCTTTTCTTACTTCGCTTATTTTTCCCTGGTTAGCATTACTTCAAATTATCTATTTGAAATGTCAGCCTTCTGATGATCCAGTTAGGAGAGTAGATGTATTAGATCCGGCCTATGTTAAGTATGTTAGGAAAGTTGGAGATAGATCTAAAAAACTTGGTTAGAAGGTGTACTAGAAATGACTGATTTTTTTTCATTGTGTCCTATTAAGAGTTAAATTCTCATTTATTTATATATATATATATATATCATACTTATGATTTTATATTTTATAACATTTTATTTGAACTCTAGCTAAGCTCCAGCTTAGATAATGAAATGTCCATAGACGTCAATGTATTGTATGACGTTTTTTTTATAAGTGATCCTGATGTCTTAGGTTCTAGGGTTTTTCATTCAAATGTAGGATATGATGACGAACAAAAGCATGCTAAAGAGATAAAAAATTGCAACGACCAACTTTAATTTAATGAAAGGTCATCCCTTTTGATGAAAAAGAAAAAAAGAAAAAAAAAGTAAATTTAACTCCAAATAATAGTTTAAAATTCTTCAAAAAATGAAAACTTTGTGAGAATTTTGAGATTGAATAAAAACTAAAAAAAAGGATTAGGATTTATACCACAAGAAGAAAATTCAAATTATGGCAAATTTGACCAAGTCCGTTTCACATACTCAAGCACGAACCACAACTTACATAAAGAATAATTATAAAGTCCTCGAAGAAGATTCAAGTCTCACTTGAGTAGCACGTAAATTGCGCATAAAGAATTTATGTCCAATAGCATGAGAGAATTTTTTTAATTTCAGTATGCACAAACTAAATATTTTAGTTATAAAAGATCCAAAATTATTAGTTTCTCAACACTTCCCAACTACATTGCCAAATTGCATACATGGATTGAAGCAATTGACCAACATGCTAAAACAGTTTTTCTAAAACAACTGAATTAGGGAATTCTATGAGAGTTGGAAAACCAAATCGATAAAAAGAATCAAAATAGTTTATAACCCATGCCATTTTCATAGTCATATCACTACAAAGTAGTTCAGATAAATCATGAATTCAAGAGAACTAAGACTTCGTTTGGGACCGTTTTTTTACTGCTTTTTAAAGTAGCTTTCTAGTACAGAAATTAAAATTTTTATACTAGAAAGCAGCTTTAAGAAGCGTAAGAAAGCTATCCCAAACGAAGCCTAAATTAATATAAAAAAGTGAAATATTAATATACTCGCCTCAATGCTCTTGTTTTGCATTTTTGGACGTGTGCAAACCCTTATATTTCTATTAAATATGCTAATATGATATAAAGGGATACCATTAAAGAGTAAAATTAATTCTTTAAGGAGAATGTGATGATGAAATTTTAAAGTAGGATAAACTACACAAATATGATATGATTATAATCTGTTAATAATTAATCTAAATGGCTTAAATATTAATATGATGAGTTGTGCACTTTTAAGTTTTAGTAGATAAAATTTCAAATTTATTTTTTAATAATTTTTTAAAAGGCCTATTGCAATGTGACTAACTACATAAGGATTTTTTTATGTATTCGTTTCACAAGACCAAGAATATTAGTGATAAATTTGATACCCACTTCATTATGAGTTGATTAATTCAGTAATTATAGTAGCATAATTTGCTCAATTTTACATTTAGGAATACACTTTATTTCTATAAGATGTTCATGCTCACATTCAGAAATATATTTAACCCTTTACAGAAGTTCCAAGTTTACACTCATGAGTATATTCGATATTTGCTAAGAAGTTCATGTTTGTATATAATCACTTGCTTAATGTTAGGCTTCGTTTGGGATAGCTTTCTCACTACTTTATGAACCAATTTTAAGTACAAAAATTTCAAATTCAAACTTTTTTTTTACTAAAGAACTGCTTATCATCTTCAGAACAAACAACTGGAAGATTACTACAGGCAGCAGAAGAAGCTCCTTGACTTCCATGTCACCGGCGCGCCCGGGGAGACCTGGCGAGGTCTTTTAGCTGCTCTTCATCTACAGCCAATTCATGCAGCCAGATTGTCGCAGAAATTGACTGTATGATCTGGATTCTAATTTTTCTTCCACAAGTTGGAAGAAGAGCCTCTTTGCAGGACAAGGTTAGTGTGCCTGGGGCTAATGTCTCTTCTGGAGAGGCTGGAGTTTTTTTTTTTTTTTTTGACAATTTTCTTTTGTTAGTGTATAGTTTGTATGCAATTTTGCTGAAAACGATCGAATTAGAGGAGGTTTAGCCTTTCATTATTTTTATTATTTTTATAAGATTTTCATTTTTCTAACAGTTTGTGGATTAAATAGATCTTAACAGGCTAAAAAATATTCATAATTGTGGGACTGGTGCAGCTTTTTTAGAGGTAGTTGCAAAGCTGTTGTGTAAAAATTTACTTTTTTTTAAAGCTGTTATAAAAAGTAATATTTTAATATAAAAAATAATTAGAAAGTAGTAGCCAAATAGAATTATAAATCTGCTGCGAGGAGGCCCTAAATTAGAGTTTTGAGGCTTTCCACTAAGAGCATCATCTTATAGTTAATGATGATAGGAGTATTAATTGTAACATATTGGTGTTTTATTCATGAGCGTCAATGATATTAGTAATTTGTGTTTATGTACAGTCAAATATTCGAAAAATTGGGTTCAAGCTAAGCCAACTTAATCTAGGCAATCTCATATCAAGAGAACTCGCCAAGTCTATAAATAAATTTAACCAAAACCGATGACTATGAGTTATGAACTTGTCCTAAGAGCTTCTCCAGCCGAACTGCAGTCGCGTGTATGGAGTGGCTTTTTGCTCCAATGGATTGCCAAAAAATACGCCAATGGCATGCGGATGAACAGTCCGACGCCAATATCACGTACACAAAAAAAATCGTTCTATTTTTTCGCTTCGCTGGAAAGGCGGGAAACAAGAGAGCGCGAGAAAGAAGAGAAATGGAGTTCCATTGGAGATGAATTGCAGCATTTTGAAGTTTTCTGTCATTATAAAGTGAAAAATGGAGTTTTCGGTTGGAGATGCCCTAAGAAGACGAGTATGATCTATCAAGTTAGCCTAAGTGACTCTTCAACTGGATCACTTTCTTTATAATGAAAATTAGTGTTTGGCTTTCAATTATTCATCCACCTTTGTATGCCAAGCCATGGAATTCTTATTAGTTTGGTTAACGGCTTCTTCAATTGGGTATTCAAATTGAGCTATATTATACTTGGATTTTTTCCTTTTTTTTGTACGGTCATGTATGTAGCCAATTTTATAAAGTTGGAGCTCCAATCAAAATCTACAAATAGATGGTCAGGGATGAGCTAATTTAACTTTTTTTTTTATTTTTTTGCTCAAGCTCATTTTGAATAAAAAATTCATAAATTTTCACTAAATTTTTTTCGGTAATCATTTTTGTGATTTCTTTTTGCTCAATATTTTTAGTGTAGCTGTTTTTATCGGCGTATTAGTAAAATTGAAGTTATAGAGACTTTAAAGAAAATGAAGGGTGGAAAAGCTGTTTGACCTGATGATATTCCAATAGAGGTGTGGAAATGCTTAGGAGATGAAGAAATTTCTTGACTTACTAAACTTTTTAATACTATTTTGAAGAAAAAAAAAGATGCCAGATGAGTGAAGAATGAGTGTTAATTCCTATTTTTAAGAATAAAGGTGATGCACAATATTGTGCGAATTATAGAGGAATTAAGTTAATGTGTCATACTTTAAAACTATGGGAGCGAGTTATGGAGCATAGGTTGCGGCGTGATACTAATATTTCTCAAAATCAATTTGGATTCATGCCGGCAGATAAGATTAGAGAGAGTCGCCTTAGATGGTTCGGTCACATAAAACGGCGGCCTTCTAATGACCCGGTTAGGAGAGTAGAGGTATTAGATTTGACTTATGTTAAGAAAGGTAGAGGCAGACCTAAAAAGACTTGGTTTTAAAATATTAGGAATGACCTTTCTTTATTAGATTTAAACAATAATTTGACCTTTAATATGACATAATGGAGAAAAATGATTCATGTAGCCGACCCCACGTAGTGGGACAAAGGCTTGATGTTGTTGTTGTTTGTGGGATTCATGAATAATTTTTTATTCAACATTCTAAAATGTGTTATGAGCATGGAGCAATTCCTGAGGTAAATCAGCAACATATAGGTGGAAAAGAATTTGTGACCATGGAGAACAACTATGAATTAGTTATGATAAGCCAGTTTGCTAAATTTAAAGAGAGGATTGCATGAATGACTAAGTGAGCATTGGAGCAAATTATGAGGACCACTTTTTAAAGGGGAGCAGATAATAGGATCCTCTGATTTTGTTGTCAGAAGAAGACTCTTTGGTGCGAGAGAATTAACCTATACTTTGTGGTTGATGAAACTTATCACTCGGACAGTTATAAGTTGATCTCGACTCTTCGTCAATAAGAAAGGTAGGCATGAATAGGAAGTCATTGCATACAAATGCTTTCTCAAGAGGGATTGTTGAAACAAATCTTTCAATAAAGTTCAAGATTTCTCACTTAGATTTGTACAAGGGGAAGATGGATTTATTCAACCATATCACCTATTTTGAGTTAGACATCTCATTGCTAGACATTAATGAAGCATTAAAGTATAGATTATTTTTTACCACTTACAGGGAACTACCCTTGCGGTGGCTCTTGCATCTTTCACTCATGATAATCGCTTCATTCGTCGAGTTGAAGAGGATTTTCTTAACTCTGCTTGCAGCATGCAAAGGATGCTAAAGAATTCGTAGGCTTTGAGGTAAGAACTCAGTGAGTCTTTGAGGGGGGTCATTACTTAGCTCTTGAAGTAGATCTTGGATATGAAGGATTAAGAGTTCATTGTGGCCCTAGCCACTATGAGGAACCTCTTAGACATACACTCAACTTGTAATAGTTGAGGGCTTTGGCATAGTTATTGAAACTCGCCAACAAACATATTAATGTAGACCTGATAAAAGTTGGTAAGCTAAGAGAATTTACTCCAATGGAACGACAAACAATTGTTTGCCGTTCTTCCGTCGCTCCAACCGAGCGGCAATTTTGCCGCTATTTCATCGCAAGTGATATTGGCGTCGCACTATTCACCAACTAAATTTTTAAGTGTCAATGGGATTTGCCTGCGAAATGGAGAAAGACGGTTACCGCATAAACGAGACGACGAAGCCTGCAAAATGGAGTTCGATTGGAGTAGAATTACCGCATTTTGGAGTTTTGCTTTATTTTGCAGTTGAAAATGGGGTTTTCGGCTGGAGATGCCCTTAACTCTTTAGTCGACTCTACAATCTGCTACCCCATAATGAGTTTTATGTATGTTTTTTCTAGGTATCTGTAAATAAAAATATATCCTAAGGATAGTGAGAAGACCACTTTCATTACAGTTGATAGATTATATTGTTATATTGTAATGCTTTTATAGTTTGGAGACTATTGAAGTCATACCTTGTTAATATTATTGGTGATCATCTATTTAAGGTTTCGTTTGGGACGGCTTTCTTACTGCTTCTATAAAGAGATTTTAACATAAAATTTTTAATTTTTGTAATAAAACGCTGTTTTAAGCAGCAGTAAAAAAATCGTCCCAAATGAAGCCTAAGTTGATCTTGGCTAAGTAAGACCACTTTGTCTAAGATGGGAAATCCTAATGGAAGCACTATCTTAGAGCTAATTCCACCAACAATCAAAGAAGCATAAGTTATGGAAGTCAATAAATAGTTGGGCCAAGTAGAGTAGATTAATTCGTTGCATACTTGAAAAGCCAGGTCCTATCATGGTTACTGTTAAGATCCAAAGCAATTTAAAATTAAGATTTTATTTAAAATAATTTTCTTATTGCTTTCTAAAACAACTTTTTAATTCAAAATTTTATTAAATTATAAATTTTTGAATTAAAAAGCTGCACCATGTAACGTTAGCCATCTCACAAGCTGCAAGCGATTTCAATTCCATGACCCAAGGCCTAATATTTAAATGAATGAATAATGAAAAAATATTAATTTGAACCTATTTTCTGCTTCCTCAATTTTGTGCGGACACCGGCTGCTTTCCATATACCAACCAACCAAAATGTACCATATCACCCATTCGCTTGGTACCGTAACTCAATAATGCTTGGTACCGCAGCTCGGTACCACTGACGTGACACATTCAGGTTGATCTCTGGAGAACGTTCTGCATCCGATCTCCTCACAAAATAATTTCCCTTGTTTTATACGGTTTTTTATTGCTTTGTAAAACAGCTTGTTAGTACAAAAATTTCACGTTCATAAAAAGCAATACGAAAGCTTATACCAAATGAAACCTTTGACAGGACAAAAACCATGGAAATCCATTTTGTTGATCTTTGCTGTTGGAGTCATTTGGCAAACCATTCTTTATTCTCATGAAAAAATAAACAACTAAACAGAATAAATAAAATAGCTAATTATGCTTAGTTTAGAGTGGCATAATTAGTAATATCACCAACTAGTATGCCAAGCCTCACAACCAAAAACATCTAAAGATTAAACTCTTGTGCTCATCAAGCATTCCAGCAAAAGCGTCTAGCCCTTGTGATTTTCAGACACCCTTCTCAAGCATTGCTCTCACTCTTATGGGCAACCCATAGAGCTGAATGAAGCCAGCTGCATCAGCCTGGTTGTAGATACTGCCTGTCTCAAAAGATGAGATGTCCTCCCTGTACAAGCTCTGCGGGCTCTTCCGCGAGGCGACCGTCACAGACCCTTTGTACAATTTCAAGGTAACTGAACCTGTTGTGGTCTCGGTTATCTTCTCCATGAAAGCGTCCATCGACTCTCGAAGGGGATCGAACCACCTGCCAGCATATACTAGCTCGGCGTACTTGAGAGCGATCGTATCTTTCATTTGAATGGTCTCTCGGTCGAGTGTCAGGGATTCCAGTTCTCGGGCAGCTACGTACATAATGGTGCCACCCGGAGTCTCATAGACGCCGCGGCTCTTCATGCCGACGAGTCGGTTCTCAACCATGTCCACTCTACCAATACCATGTCTCCCGCCTATTTCATTTAGTTCTGAAAGAAGAGAAGCGGGAGAGAGTTCCTTGCCGTTGACGGAGACCGGTATGCCTGACACTATACCGATTTCGACGTACCTGCAGATGTCAACAAAGATGGTCTTGATCAATAAGCAATCATAAATAAATGAACCTTCAAATAAGCAATCATAACAAATATGGTCTTGATCAATAAGCAATCATAACACTTAGCTCAAGCTAAGTGTGCAGAGGCAGAAAAGACATGCATGAACAAAGTGAGGTGAAGCATCTTGTAAGAAAGAGGGAAATGAGATTGAGAGAGAGAGAGAGAGAGAGAGAGAGAGAGAGAGAGAGATAATCACTATTATTGATCAATAACAAAACACAATTTACAAATAATTGCTCTAACAAACAAAGTTACGAGCCAAATTCAAATTGGATGGAAAGAGCAACTAGGATATTGATATATACAATCAAGTTGTGTCAGCTATATAAACATGCATGGACAAACAAAACGACAATGAGCTTACTGCAAGAGGAAGTGGAAGAGAGTGGAAGGGACTGAGGATGTGAGATGGCATACCAATCACATGAAGACCCCAAATAAGCAAACATAATGAGAAGGATTCGTGTATGTAAACTTAACCTTGCAATACAGAGAGATTTCATCTCTACCATGGCAGTTAGAGGCAACATAACCACTACTACAGACATGCTTCTGGAGAGGGTAAGAGAGGGATATAATTGGTGGGAATAAGAGAAAAACTATTAGGTGTTTATCACAAAACACCATATTCATATGGATTATCAACAATATTCAAAACTACCACACCAATAATAACATGGAAGATGGCCCTCCTTAGAGAAGTGATTAAAACTTAAAAGATCAGGTAAAATTTAGCAACCAAATTTGCAAAGGAGCTCGAAGTGTTGGATATTTACTCAGGTTGATTGGGTGCATCTTCAGGATCAACGGTCAGCACGTACATGTCCTTCTTAGGCTCATTTGCTGGGTTTTCCAAAATATCTCCCTTAATAATAGAACAGGAATCAGTACAACCAAACCGAACTTATAAAAATTTTGCTATCACATAAAACTAAAATAGCTCTTTTAAGTGCAAAGAATAATCTCCAAGACAATTAATATTTCAAGCAAAAACCATGATACTTCTGTAGGTAATAAGCAAGGACATAGAATCCAAAAATGTCCCTTTGCATAAGAAGAAAGTAATCCCAAAAAAAACATAAAGTTTGTAATTTGAATCATAATTTAAAATTAAGTAATTTGACGCACGCTTCAGTACAATTCTATTTTTTTCACTTCAATGGTTTGAGGTTGTCATCTTGTTTATATATATATATATATAGAAGCAACCCATCATGGTGCTTCGCGAGTTGATTGAAATGGAGCTCATTCCTTCATTAGGGAAATGAAAGAGAAAGCATTAACCTAATGAGGGCTTGCCCATTGAAGAAAAGTGGGCTATATACGCCATAAGCAATGTTTGCAATCCTTTTGTTTGCTCCCTTCTGATAGCCAGGAAGGTTGAGTTTGAAGGTTAAAAAGTGAGGCAAATAGCAGAAAAATCCTGCTAGTGATTGGGAAGAAGTCAAGCTAGAACTCCAGCTGAAGGAATAAAAATCTCCATAGGCCACCACGACAGAAATGGAATAGCCTTTCTATAGAAATCTTTTCCCATTCTTTTTCTTTCTTTCTATATATGAGAAATTATTCTGTGCGGACACCGGACGGAGAGAACCGTCAGAAATTGTTGTACTTTTACTGTTCTTTTGCTGCGCTTTTGCAAAAGTGCAGCAAATATTCAATTATGAATGACTTTTTACGTCCTTTTTGCTGTGCTTTTACAAATACTCAGTAAAAGAGCAATAAATATTCAATTATTTAGTAAATATTAAATATTTTTTGCACTTTTACTTCATTTTTGCAAAAGCATAACAAAAGAGAAATAAAAACACAACAAATGGTGTCCGCACAGAATAATTAGTATTCAACTAAGAAATTGTTAATCAAACTACTCTACTATATCATCCATAACTCTCCAAATATCCATTTGTGTGTCATCAAGACCCATAGTTTTGCCTATATCCATCTTCTTCAGAGCTAATTGTACTTCAACAATAATAATAAGATCCTTCACTGTGCTCTCAAAACTCTTAAATAATGATAATGATAATAGATAGTAATAATAGTATCCTAAAACTTTATAATTGAACTTTGTGGAACTAAAAATTACTAAGCTCGTTACCAAAAAATAGATGGCATAACAATTTAACAAGAGAGGAAAATATTGAGGAAAAGGGAACATTGTATGAAATTATTTAATCACATTGTAAAGAAAAATTAAGATTTGGTAATTACTTCATGGCTGAGATGCCACAGGTTTCGATCTCTACTGTAAATTGACTTTTTGGAAACAGGTACAGGAATGTTGTGCTTCTTTGCATATTCAATAGCATCTTCCCTCCCTTGGATTTCCCACTCCCTCCAGGGTGCCACAACTTTTAATTCAGGATTCAGAGCAAAGAAAGTAAGCTCAAATCGAACCTAAAGTGAAGCAAAGATTATAAGCTGCAAGAAAACAAGCATAAGATGCACATTCCAGAATTAGAAATAAATTAACAAACCTGATCATTTCCTTTCCCTGTGCATCCATGTGATACAGCATCTGCACCAACATCTTTAGCAACATCAACCATTGCCTGTAAGAGAAAATAGCATCGTCGGTTCTGTCCTTCTTCGATAGATAATGGAGTAAATAAGACTGGTTTTCCGAAAATACGAAAATTAGTTTGATTAGAAAATAACTCCGGTTAGTATAACCATGAATATGCTCCTAACCTTGGCAATTACAGGACGAGCCATTGAAGTACCAAGCAAGTATTTTCTTTCATATACTGCACCAGCTCGCAGACAAGGGAATATGTATTCTCTGACAAATTCCTCCTTCAAATCCTTGACAATAAGTTGGCTTGCACCACTTGCTTTTGCTTTTTTTTCCAATCCATCCATCTCCATTAAACCCTTTAGAAAGTTAGCATTGGAGAAATAAATCAGTTCATGGTATTCTAAGAATTACATATGTAAAGAAACCAAGATACATAACATCTTTCAAAACAAATACGTAGAAGTTTCCAAAACAATGATACAGTAGAGGCCCCAAACGCCAAATATCATATGAATCAAGCAAAAAAAGTAAATAATCATGAATCCAAAATATCAGAGTGGTCAAAGGGAGAAACCAACCATCCAATTAATAGAATGTTTTTCACAGAATAAAAGCAGGTGATATTCTTTCAAATGTCTCTGAAAATCTAACTTTCAATGGCATATTCGTATAGTTGAAAACAAAGTGGTTTAGGCTTTTGCTTGGGATGACTTTTTTATAGCTTTTTAAAACAAAGTTATAGTAAAAAATTTTAATTTTTTAACAAAAATTATGTATTAAAAAGCAATAAAAAAGTCGTCCCAAATGAAGCCTTAGCCTATCACATAACCATCAGAATACATGCAAGTAAAATAACATATTTCTGAAGAAATGAATTTGCAGAAAAAGGGAAAACAAAAAATGTATAGCGATGAGAAAAAAAATGATTAGGATCAAGTTTCTTAGCACGGGCATCGAACAAAACATATAAGCAAGAAATAGAACAAATCTGAAAAAACCAAACCAAACTAAGCACATAATGCTCTAACAAAGATAACTCATTTACTGAAACTAGTTTAATAAGGACTAGTTCACGTGCCTGACCAACATCAGCAGTAAAGCAGACAACCTCGCATCCATAGTTTTCCCTGCCAAAACATAATTGCCACAAATAAGAATGATTGAAAAACAAAAATTTAAGCATCGCAGAAACAAAAAATAGTTGACAGAGATTCAGAAATAATTTTTTTTTTTATATAATCAATGAGGATGAAATAAAAAAGAACTTCATAGATTAGCAGGAGTCATGAAGTTTTCTTTTCAAACCAGAACCAAAGCAACAGGACCTTCACAATCAGTAAATGCCTAATCATATTAAGATGGTGCATAACCAGAACTCCAGAAGAAGGATAAGGTTCACATTTCCTTGAATGCAGAGAAACATAATTGCAGATATAACAATTTCTTTTCTCTGAAATGTATAGGACGTTATAGGGAATACAATTAGGTTTAGGTACCTTACTAATAGGGGTAACTTTCAGCATGAATGATTAAAAGATGTTAATATGGTAATGAGAGAACCCAATAGACTAATTGAGTTTCTTAGCACAGCTTGCTTACCAAAATATGTAACAATGAGTAAAACTGTGAAAAGCATACTTTTTCTGTAGATTTTAGTTTGACTGAACGCTAGATTCATACAAATTACACCTAAATGCAAATTTGATGTAAAAGGCAATGCATACAACAATTAAGTGGAAAGGAACATAGCAATGATTTATTCAAAGAAACCTTAGCCATGGTACTATAACTGAAGTATCCAGGCCACCACTGTAGGCCAAAACAACTTTGTTCAATTTTCCACGTTTTCCACTCCCATTTGGGCTACCATAAGCATCGGTCTTTCCCGACAAATTCGCCTCTTCATTAGTCAAAACAAAATCTTTAACAGCTCCCGTTGGACTTCCATTTTCATCTGCCAGAATACTCTGGATAACTGCACAACACCACCTATTAGAGCAACATAACATACAAGGCATAAAATGTAGAAAGAATTTTAGTGTTTGCCAATGGTAGCCTCCAAATACCAAAAGTTCAATAGGTATTAACGACTAACCTTCAAATGTTAATAAAAAGTACAAAAAAAGTTAGGTAATTGATGTAATGAGTAGTTTATGGGTTCATTTTAGGTATTACATAGTTAATAGGTGTTTGATAGCTCCTTATGGGTCTTATAATGCTATAAATGCCCCACTTGCGGGGGAGTTAGAAAATGGAAAATGAATGAACTAAGCTTTAGCTGCACCCTCTCCCACAGATATTTGGACTTGGGGGGCATCCTATAATTGCTTGGTCTCTTCTTTCTCAATGATTTTTGGAGTTCTGAGAATGTTTGAAGTTTCCTTGTTATCCTTATATTTGGTTTTTTTCCCTATTTTCAATATTTTTTTAGTTAAATTTACAACAATGGTACAGTTGCTAAACCTCTCGCTGAGTGCCACCTTTGATCTCTTGCGTCATCTCCCAAATCCAAGCTTTCGCCCTAGATTTGACATCCCCCAGTGGTCAAATTTTCCAAACCTTGGGTCGACGTCATTGCCCCTATCCTTCGGCAAACGTCCCCACGATCAAGTCCACCTAATATGCCCACCCCATCTATGATTCTGCCATTGCAATTGCCAATGCCTTCAAATTTGACTAGATCCGGCCACCATCCACTAGATCTCACCCAATTCCACTCCCAAATTCCTATCTTCACTTGATTTGACCATTGAAAGCCTCCCACAACAAGATCCACCTTTGCCTTCCACAACCACCTGATATTCATTCAACAATCCTCAACTAGATCAAATCTCACCATAGTTAAAAAAAAAAAAAAAAATTCTATTAGTTCAACCTTTCAGGCAAGGTTGTTGCAAAGGGGAAGGAAATGTTAGATAATAATGTAACAAGCAGTTTATCAGTTAATATTAACTATTATATAGTTAATAGGTTTTTCATATGTTCTTTAAGTGACTTGTAAATTGTAATGCTATAATACCCATCCTTAAGGGGGATTAGGGATTGCAAAAATGAATGAACCAAGCTTTGTCTGTAGGAGTGTGAATTCAAGTTGCGGGTCAGGCTCGAGTTTGGCCCGAAATTCACCTAACTTGAACATGCTTGACCCAAACTTGAATATGCTTTCCCCGAACCCGACCCATCTAATCCTTCATTATATAGCTCATTCAATTTTTTATATCAACACAAGTTGTTTAACCCAATAATAAAGTCAATTTTGAGTCGATTTCCGGTTTGCGAGTCAACATGAACTTGACCCAAATATTTATTGGGTCAACCAAAACCTGAAATGCTTTAGTAATGTTGTCTTGTCATGTCATTTACTATTCTGCTCCCTCTCCCCCAATACCTAGATCATGTACATCATCTAAATGCCTAGTCTCTTCTTCCTCAAAGATTTTTGGAGTTTTAGGAAAATACGAAAATGTCTATTTATATCTACAATTGGTTTAGGTTTGTATGGGCAATTTATGCTTTGGTCAAACACTGTCGTTGCTAGGTCTCAGGCCTTGAATGAGAAAAGTAGAGGATGACATTAGGTAGTCGACAGTCAGCGTAAAATCTATCGAATAATCATGACATGAATGCATATAGCATGCTGTGTGATAGAAAAGTAACTCTCAAACTTAAGGGAAAATTCTATAAAATGGTGGTGATACATGTGATGCTTTATGGCTCAAATGTTGGCCATTAAAAGAGAAGCATAAAATTAAGTTAAGTGTTGCAGAGATGAGGATGCTCAGTTGGACGAGTGGCTTTACTCTTAGAGATAATCTGAAACGGGTATATACATGAAAAGGTTGGAGTAGCTCAATTGGGAAATAAGATTAGAGAGACGCCTTAGATGGTTTGGTCAAATAAAATGTCGGCCTTCTGATGACCCGGTTAGGAGTGTAGATGTATTAGATATAGCCTATGCTAAGAAAGGTAGAGGTAGACCTAAAAAAGCTTGGTTAGAAAGAATTAGAAATAATATTTTTTAGTAGATTTAAATGAGAATTTGACTCTTAATAGGATACAAGGGAGAAGGAGAAAAAGAATTCATGTAGCCAACCCCACAATGTGGGATAAAGGCTTGATGTTGTTCTTGTTAGATTTTTGCTTTTAAAAGCTTCTTTCTCAACCATAGTTTTAAATATGGTTTCAAAAAAAAAAAACTTCTTAAGAGAATTTTTTAAAAAAAATTTGTCATCCAAATTCACATTTTTTTTATTAGCTGCAACTTCAACCATAAAAACAGTCAAAAAGTCCTCTCAAACAAAGTATTAATCTCCAATTTAATTAGTTTACCTAGTTAGGCACTTAGGTTTGCAACACCATCCTTCAATTGTTAATAATAAAAAATACAAAACCTTTAAGCCTATAATAATAACCTATGTGTTCAGTACTACACCCCCAACATTATAAATTGGACAATCACTAGAATAAATTTCTAGATGCATATATATCTATATACACTAGAAAAATAGAAAAATGTCAACAAATAAAATAGCATAATAGAAATGTTTATAAATGAAATAAGATTCGATTAATGTGGAGTCATTAAGAATCAAAGTTTAGAAGGAAAACTGCAAGGCAAATATTAATAACAAAATTACAAAGCCTTTTGTACAATGACAATTCACTTTACAAGCATATATCATCATTAGCCTTATCTCAATTATTTGGTGTCGGCTTTACTCCACATTCATTTTTCCCCATCCCTACAATATGTCCTCACTAGAATTGTTCATCTTTTTTATAAATTTCTATGTTACTCCTACCTATACAGGGAATAGAGCACTTCTCAATAGAACAAGAAATCAAATGGAGAAAAATTAGCTTACTTACCATGCACACGAGAATTGGATTTTTTGCATGTACCATGCTGAATGGTTGGATGGCCTCCACAGAAGCCACTGGATGCAAAACCTATCTGGCAAGATACAAACACAATATGAACAATAAAACAGATGAAGTTCCTTGAATAACCATAAGCACAATAAATGCTGATCCCTTGATATCCAATACCTTCTGACAAAAACTGAACGTTTTTAGGCCATTATTTTCACAGCTCTGGAACCCGTCTGCAGACCAAACAGGGAAACCTCTCTCAGGAAAAAAAAAAAGAAAGAAAAAAAAATTGAAAAGAATCAACCATCACATTACATATGCATGAAGTTCTTAATCAACAGGCGCACAGAACAACATTAACACAACCAGAAAGCAAAAGCAGGGAAATTTAGAAGAGGAAGAGAATAGATACGGGATTTCTTGATTCCATTGAAGGAGATTTGAGGGACGGAGCATGAAGAAAGAGCTCGCAGCTGAGCCATGCGATAAGAAGCTCGTCTGGCTCCGGTCTAATCGAAACACTCTTCAGATATAAGAGAAAGTTGCGACGCCTTCGCTTTTCTCCCGCCTTGTTTTATCAAAAAGAACACAGCTCGTTCCTGGAGGAATCCGTTGGTCGGGAGCGAGCGGCGCTGCAATGAACTAGTGGAGTGACTAGGGTTCTCCGTTTAAGCTACCTCGGCAGCCATCGATCACGTGACTTTCGCAAGAGGGGCACCAAATTCTACATCCGACGGCGTGGATCATGGCGGGTGGAGATGCCCATATTCAATGGCAAATCTTTTCGAGGGCAACAATTATTACGTCCTCTGACGGCACGCAGAGCTACATTTGGCCGCCAATAACATGTCGTTACGTGGCCCGACGACTTAATCCGTAGCGGAACTCGGGAATGCTATGTTCGTGATTTTCTTGGTATTGATCGGTATTTGCTCGGTATTGCTTTACAAAAACGAGAAATACCGCTATGTGAAGATCAAAACCATACAAATACCGAGTTGTGCCGAGTTTTTCTACAACTCAGTACAACTTGGTACAACTTGGTATTTGCTCAGGATTTGCTCAGTATTGCTAGAGATTTGCTCGATATTGCTAGGTACTTGCTCGGTATTGCTAGAAAAAACTCGGTACAACTCAGTATTTGCTCAGGATTTGCTCTGTATTGCACACTCATTAATTTAAATGAATCAAACATGAACACAAATAATAAAGCTCGAACAAACCTGAACCAAGCTTGAACAACCTGATATTAAATGAACACAAACATGAACACTTACATACTCGGCTCAGCTCGGTTCGTTTGCAGCCCTAGCTATAGATACTAACCACTACAACATCAAATAACAAGTGATATGATCAACAAATGTTTTTTTTAATCAATGGACCATCTATAATTTAATGAAAATATTAATATGATGTAGAAGGATTATTTGTAATTGTTGCGAGCAAGAATATACATAATAGTATAATAAGAGCATAAAGCGTCTTAGCAATTTACATATATCTGATATATAATTGAGAGAGAGAAAAATACAATAAGTTTTTTATGAGGAAAACCAAGAAAGGAAAAACCATAGGTTTGGCCCATATGAGAAAGTTCCACTAAATTTGAATGAATTACAAAGCTTGATGTGGAATTACAATAAATTGGAGAGTCGGACATAAGTCTGGTGATGGAAAATGAAAGAAAGTTCGAAAGTGGTTGGGAAGAGTAATTCTCATTAGCATCAATAAATAATTGATGGATGATCTATAGGCGGGGTTGCGTTAAGCCACAAGAGTTGTTCCTTCTCATTTGTTTTGTCTTATATATGTTGAAACTTCTTTTTCTTTCTTTCTTATGCAAAAACCATCACTAGCAAAATCTTTAATCATCATTGATATCTCTCTTATATGTCGCTAGTATCACCATCATTGCTTGCCTCATCTCTACAAGTGTTTAAATATTAATATTTGAACAAGCTAATGCTTTGCAACATACAACCAAACTCAAATTATCTTAGAGTTCATTTGATTGTATATAGATAGAAAACATGCCTTGGGGCTCATTTGGTTGTTTATAGATATCAAATATATTTTAACGAGCAATAGATTTTGAGAGTTGTTGCGTCCTATAATATTCGCGACGGTAGAGAAATATGAAGTTTAACGTCTCAGCATTGTACGAAGATCCAGCACATAATCAGAAAAGTCAGATGGTGTATCATTCATAAGAGACACCAGAGTTTTTATGTGGAAACCCCTGAAAAGGGGGAAAAACCACGGGGCCTGGCTCAGTTTGAATGAATCCACTAGTATTTGTTGTCGATTACAAATGAGACCCTTCCTTGGGAGAATGCCTTGGCTTGATGATACAAATGTACATCATATAGAGCACATTATATGGTGGGAGTTATAATATAGACATGTATGTTTGGTCGGCACGACCACAGTCGATAGGATGGAGACCGGAAAGACCATTGTCTGGTAATGGAGGTCGGAAGGATCGTAGTTGGCAGGAGACAAGGGTTAGAAAGATCGTTTTCTACTGATTGAGGTCTACAATTTTCTGGGAGAACTCTGGGCATCAAGTGGTGGCCTGGTGGAACTCAAGGCCTCAAGTAGTGGTCCGTCGGAAGTTCGAGCCTCAGGTGATGTTATGGTGGAGCACAAGGTCTCAAGTAGTGGTATGGCAAAAGTCTAGGCCTTATGTGACGTTCTGATGGAGCACAAGGCCTCAAGCGGTGGTCTGACAGAAGTCCGGCCCTCAGATGGTGGTCCGGCAGAATTCCGGCCCTCAGGTGGTGGTCTGGTGGAGCATAGGGCCTTAACTGGTAGTCCGGTGGAGCAACGACATCAGACGGTGGTCCGGCGGAGGTGAGGGACTCAAGTGATGGTTTAGCGGTGGTCAAGGAATGTAAGGGCCTCAAGTGGTGGTCCGACAGAGCAACGATGCCAGGCCGTGGTCCGGCGGAGGTGAGGGTCTCAAGTGGTGGTCCAGCGGAGGTGAGGCCTTAGGTGGTGGTCCGGCAGAGCAACGGCATTTGGCGGTGGTCCAGCGGAGGAGCTAGGCTGCTGGAGCTTTCTTCCTCCTCTTCCTTCTTCTCTCTTGGCTCCCCCCCCCCCTTTCAAGAGGAAATGAGGTTCTATTTATAGAATTCTTGAGTGGCATGTCTTGTAAATAAATGGAAGATCCAGGGTAAATTGGGAGTGGTTCGGATGGACGGCCGATCTTGATTCCCTTGATCGTGAACTGTTCGACATACATTTGAAGGTCTTAATGATATCAGAATTCGGCGATCTTGGGGTCGTTTGATTTGTCTCGTTGAGCTGCTCGATTTGACTATAAGCATGTCACGTTTGGAAACCATTTGTTAATCCAAATTGTGGTTCGAACCTTCCAACAGTGCTTTTGGGTCCTTGATTTGGACTCATTTGGGCTCGGATTGAGTTGATTTTTGTGTCGTTGGATTTGTGATTCCGAGACGCAAAACTCGACTATAAGTTTGCAGAAATCAGAGTTCATATGGTCTCAATTTTAATTCTTGAAGCTTTCAACTTGATTTTGGATCAAGATTCGTGCTCGATCAAGGTAATTTTTTGATGATATATTAAGAGTAAAAAAATAAAATTTATTTTAGGGATTTAATAGGGTTTGTTTATAGTTTAAAACACATTTATTTTTATTTTCATCTGCCAAATAATGGAATGTAATAAATTCATTAGAAACCAATAAATCAATACATTTGAGAGACTTTTGAGAGCTTTTGTGAAGTATGAAGTATATGCCTGTTCAAAATTATTCAATCAATTTCTCAATTTTTAAAAAATATATTTTAAAATTCAAACAACTAATTGAGCCCTATGAGAAATACAAAAGAAAAAAAAAAAAGTTCAGATCAATGACCTAGATGGTAAGCCTATATGAATTCTTAAGAATTTCATGTTTTGAATTTAACTTTTAGGCTTCGTTTGGAACGACTTTTTTATTGCTTCTTAAAACAGCTTTTTAGTATAAAAATTAAGACTTTTGTATTAAATTGTTTTAAAAATCAATATTAAAGCTGCCCAGGTTTCATTTGGGATAGCTTTCTTAATATTTTATGAAGTATTTATTTAGTATAATATATTTTGTGCTAGAAAACTGACTCATAAAGTAATAAAAAAGTTGTCCCAAACGAAACTTTAATATAGCTATAATAACTTGAAAAATGAGAGCCAACATTATCCATTCGAGCTTAAATATTTATGAAGATGTCGGCATGCAAGTTGATCAAAATATGGTTGAGTTAAATATTGAAGAGCTTTCAAATAAGGACATTCAAGTAAGATCAAGCAATGTCAGGGCGTTCATACAACTTATTTAAATCCTTCAACTAGCTTTCTGTCTACTGCTCATGCTACGCATGCTCAATGGGCCTACATGGGCCGAATTGATAATATCTATGAATCGGGCTAAACTGGAGCTCAATTCAAAACTTCTTAAATGCGAAGTAAAATATATTGATTAGAATTTATTCTATAATTTTTTCTAAATAATTTAGGTTTTGTGTGAAACAAATTTCGTACTATTTTAATTTTTGGACTGTAATCATAATTTTTATTTGATCATTATTTTTTCACTGCTTTCAATAAATTTTTATGCTAGAAAGTTGTTTTCTACAACAGATTTAAAAAAATGCTTTGCAATCACTTTTATAAAAAAATGTAGCAGTGCCAAACTTACTCTTAGGCTTCGTTTGGGACGGACTTTTTATTGTTTATTAAAATGGAGTTTTAGTTAAAAAATTTAATTTTTGTACTAAAATTCTATTTTAAGAA